TCAGGGCTAGCGGGCAACCTCTATGGAAGCTTGAAAACTTCCATGATAGCAACTTCAAGACACTATCATCCTAAAACCCCAACCCTAGCCCGACTGACCCTAATCCTAACCCCATATTGTCGCGCAATGTTATGCTCAAGATGGGCTCGGGTGATATTCTTCCTCGGAAGTTCCCGAAACTACCATGGAAGGTACTCGGCGAGATCCCACGGAGAAGTCAAGTTCAACCAACTTCCATGGAATGGTGGTATTGACTTTTATCTCAAAAAGTGCTGTCTGATGACGGCGTGATTACACCAGTCAGTCAGTCATCCGCAATTTTCGAACGGCTCCACTCCTGCGTGGATTCACACCTACCTATCTTAAGCACTCTCCTTGAAGACGGTTCGCTTAGCAATAGACACGTTGTTTTTACTAACCGCGTACAGTAGTATTGACCAATTGTTTAGCCATCCATGTATCGTCAACAACGAACACTGCCTGGCGCAATATACAACGGAAGGCATTACTGACTCCCGCTGGAGGAACGGGGGACAGTCCAGTCCAGTGAGAGGGGACGAGGTCTCTCTTTGTTGCTCTACTCTCTGTCGAAAATGATCCACCGGTGTACAGATTAGACGAGCAGGAATCGATTCGCAAGGGTATCTGTCGATTAACTTTGACCAGCATCGGTACGCCTTCGCAGACTCGCGGGAGGGACTGCCCTGGATTCTGAAGGGGGTGTCACAATGTACCGAGCTTTCAACGGCCCCGCGGGTGTCCAGCGTAACGCTCGTTTTATTTTTTTGGTTCCGGGTATCTGCGGCTTACTCAGGGCTGTAGATGCATGAGCGGGCTCGCCGAGAGACACAACAGAGTGACCCATGAATGAGATCCTTCGGGTTTCGGCGAGCGGACGAGACAGGCGCAAAGTGAAATAATAGCACCCTTCCCGGACGTCCCCATGTGTTTATGTTGATCGATCTACCGTACGCATCGGGGATGAAAAATTGGAGATAAATTGGATGGAAGACTCCGGGGATGTATTTCAACGTCCCCTCACTCGGGATACGGGGTCATTTCCACGGCCAATATTATAGATCAATTATTGGCCCATTTTCCATCCACCGCCCTGAGCGCAGAGGAAACATTTTTTCACTCCGATTTTGTGTCCGTAGTTGATGAGTGTTCTAGCTACCTGACGTATAGTTCGAATATTACAACCTGGTTTGGCCTCCCACCGGAGGAAACAAAAATTGACCTGTCAAAAAGGAGAGAATAACACGAAGGAATATCCTTCGAAGAACGAGAAAAGAGCAAGCATTGACGGCAACGACGGTTCATGCGCAGTGGTGGCGATGACGGTGTTTACCCACCGACTTGAAACGAGTCTGCCGGGGTTACAGGTGTCCACGATCGCTTGAGTTCACACCTGGTCTTTGTTACAGTGCGTATCCAACATCCGGAACAACACAAGGTCTACGTGATTCAGGAGTCAGGACGATCTCACACATACCCTAAAGCAAGCCAATCTCTGTTTGGAGGCACGGACTTACGTCGCCGCCCGCAATACATTTCACGAGAAAATAGACTACAACAAATTACCGCACAGGTGCCCCAGCCGACAGGCTTGGCTCACACATACACCGGGCAGGGAAATACGGCGTGGGGGGTGCTTGGTTGGCACGTGAGTCATGCCCAATGCCTTCTATGGCGAGGCTACAGCGCATGCAAGGTACAAGGACTTTTGTTTTCGACAACAAAGTAAAGTGGGAGTGGGTTGGACGCAACGTGAGGATATTTGCCATTTTCATGACATCGATCGCCTGAGAGCGACGTAGTGGATAACCCTCCAAACGATTGACAGCCCCACCAAAGTGCCGCACCATTCGACAACGCTCACTTCGTTGAGGTTTGTTCCTCCATTGCTCAGTGAGTCCAACACCTGGCGCAGAACGACCAACCCATCATTCGGGGAGAGAAGAGGCGGGGGGGCCGGGGGTTGCTTCGAGCAGTGAACAGAGTGCTTCGAGTCCATCTAAAAGCGTTGCTCGCTTGTCGGAAGGGCCCGCACGGGGAACGTCACCTAAACCTAGACGTCCCCAAGTGCGCGACTTGAACTGCCAAACGCAACTCTACTCTGGACCACAAGGCCTGGACAAATTTCCCGCGGGAGTGAAAGTACCAACTGTTTTCAATGTGCTTCGACCAACAAGTACAAGGAAACGCAAATGCGCGTTTGACTAACAACCTCTTCAAGCAAAGCACACACTCGTTCGAGAATACAACATGCACCAAGAAAGGCTTAACGCGAAGGTCACGAGAGTCAGAGCTTGCCTCTTCGCCCGTCGCTCCGTAGCATGTCGTGCAGGTACGGGCCCCCGCATAAGACTGGCCTGCGAATACGATCTTGGCAATCGCCTCCCAAGAGTACCTGTCACCGGCGATTTCGCAAAGACGAAGCCGACGCATTGAACGGCACTTTGGATGTTCACGTTGGACGTCCAATGGACGAGCCATGGGACACAATGGATGTCCAATCGGACATTGGACTTCCGATCGGACACCATCACATCCCATAGGACACTTGGGACGTCGAAGTTTGGACGTGGGACGTCCCTCGCATACGGCCGATGAGATGCCTTGGACGTCGCAGCTGGGCATCTTATTGGACGTCCTACGTGATTGAGAACCCAGACGCATATGAGCCAAACATATGTAGGCAACCAACAATACTCATGGATCGGATATGGCTATCAGTTGTGAAGTTGTGTTTCCCGCGAGGTCAATTTCATTTGCACGTGATGGGGGTTCCATCCGTCAGCGCGGGCGTCCGATGGATACGGCACACGTGCCCCATTGGACGATCCCGCGTGTCCCATAGGACGTCCCACGTCTAAATTGGACGTTCAACGCTTCCCATGGGACGTCTTGGACTCCAATGGTGTCCCATCGGACGTCCAATGACTTCCAACAATGTAAGTACCCCAGCCGACGCAATCTCCCACACTACTGGGAGTTTAATCAAACCGCCCACGGGACACCCCTTAGCAGCTGATGTGCCGCCCATGGGCACTTCATGGACTGCCCATGTGTGGGCCCATGGGCAGCCCATGAACTGCTTCGCCACCGGCGTATCAACCTCGAACTTTGCCACCGGCACATAAACCTAGAACGTAGCCACCCCAGCACCAACCTGGTACTTATCGTGTGGGCTTTGGGTTAGGGTTAGCGTTAGGATTATTAACCGCTATTATGCTCCTTCCAAGCAGACAATCTATTGCTTGGAGTACCCTGGTCCCGGTAAAAAGGCACAAATTGACGGTCCATGTGCCGCCCATGAGTAGCCTATGGGCACCACTGCGCCTATGGGCACTTCGGTGCCCAAGGGGAGCCCATGGCACAACGTGGTGGTTTAGCAATTCTGCAGAAAGTGTAGGAGACCCAGCTGACGCAGCTTCATTGGCAAAATTATTGTAGGCCACATAACCACGCTTGATCCCAGTTCGTTTCTGCATTCTCTTGCGAACTTCCGTGGTTGTGCGGGTAGAACTTTTCAGCACCGGGGTGCGATCGATAATAAAGTCATTTTGATGTTCTTGCCTCTTGTCGCATCCTGTTGTGATTACGGCGGTGTGGGTAGTGATATAGAATCAACCAATTTCGTTCCGGGTTCTTGTCGCACCCCTATAATGGCCCGACCTTGCAGTACGCCCCAGCGGCTTGACAGGTGATACTACTCCTACGGGAACGCCCCCAGGTTCTGTCCACCTAACCTCTATTTAGTCTAAAGTTCGTACATCGACCGCTGTAGGCAGAATGGGGAGCTTTAGGGGCCGTCCGATGAGTACTACCGTAGCCTTTTTTCCCCGCGACATTTCATGCACACACAGGTGTGAAACCCAGTATACATGCCGCCGTTTCTCAAACTGCAACTCACCTAAGCGGAGAGATCCAGTAGATCCACTCCCAAAACTGCGGCATGTTGTTGGGGTCGATGAAGAAGCTGTCGCCGCGAGAGGTTATGAACGACGACGGTGCGTGAGTCAAGGAACGACGCGTTCGTTCGCCGCGAAGCGTTTCGAGTCGAGCACATCAACACCGACCATTCCAAGAAGACAAATAACCTGTGTTAGTGACGGACACACAAATACATGTTGACTGCATTGCATCGCTCGCAGCGCGAATGGCCAGAACGCGCGGCTGGCGCCTAGAGAAAACAACACGGCGATGCGAGACAATCAATATCAGCATTCAGTAAATCATTTTCGTCGAGAGTCGACTACCACGGTTATGAACAGACATGATCATTGGAGTGGGCACCCACCCGTTGAAAATGAAGAACATGGACAGGACGCAGGAGTAGACCGCGATTGCCAGGACGAAGTTCTACAACATCCGCATGCGCAGCAAGCGTCGTGTTGGAGGTGCAGGTAAACGCGGGCACCGAAAGGGTGCAATGGAGTGTTAAGGCGGGGTTGTCTAAAAGGAGGTGTACGCTAGAATACTCGTGTTCCCGTTGGATGTTTCTCACGATCGTGGCTGAGCATGCCAGCCTGTCGTACCTTACAATTCCAGGCAGGCTTGCCCTTGTAGGGTGTTAGCTTACGTATTTTCGGTACCCTTCGCTATGCGTCGTAAAGTTCACCACACGATGACAAATACTGTTAATACATACCTTGATGAAGACGCCGACCACCTGTGCGACAGACTCGACCACAAACAGCATGAGAAACATCACCACGACGAACTGGGTGAACCTGGTACGGTTTTTTTTAGAAGCGCCGGAAAAGATGGGGGGGAGAAAAAATGGGACAATGGGGCATGTTTGAGATGATGGCGGCAACGCGCCGGTGCAACGGAGGGCGCGACGGTGCACCAGTATTTTGCCGGGCATCCTGGCCTGACTACAGCTTAGAGAATATTCCGAGCACGTGCTATCCAAGCTTAGGAGTCCGCACGAGCTCGTCTCAACGATATTCGACAAGGCGACCACCGTGCGGCTATATATAAGGACGAATTTAATCAACGGAACACCTTGTTGGGTCGTCGTTCATGTCGGTGGTCCAATACACGGGCGTGGAGCAGCAGATGGCGATGAGCAGTACGAACGGGGCTTGGACTATGGCGTTGGCGATGCAGAACATCGCCACGCCGTACTGCCCATTCTACCGTAAATCAGCAGCGGTGAGGGGTCGAGTAGTTGCGAGTAAGGGGGACTGTAAACGGCGATGTAAGCAATCAGTGTGGAAGACGTGCAGCAGGAAAATGAGGCTGGTAGAGTCGAACTCTGATACTGCGTCGTTCTGCCCTAGGTGACGGGGGCGGGAAGAGACGTCCTTGGGCCTAACTGCCATGACGCATCGAAGAATTACCACCCACACCGTCTGAAGTGCGACTATGTAGATCGACTTCCCACCCAGGCCAGGTGCGTCGATGGGTTATATTTTCCCGGGGGGGGGAAGCCCACTTTTTTTCGTTTTTGGGCAATCGAATCTACGCATTCTGGCAATCTTTCTCGTCTTATTTTTGTTGCAGGCGTTCGCTCACATAGGTTTTCCTACCTGAACCTCTTTGACCACGGCGTCCTTCTCTTGAGCGAATGCCGGGATGGCCGCCATGTCCATGTCTAGCCGCAGCAAGATGATGCGATGGAACATAGGAATGACTACAGAACATAAGTACTGTATATACTACAGTACAGTAGATGACACCGAGTAGGGGGCTATGTACATTGAGGCATTGCTCGAGCTTCAGAAACGGACCGGGGCAAAGACCAACGGTAGTGAAATACAGGGGTTTTACGTATTTGCCAAAGTGAAACGCAGCCCAAGTTCAAAGACGCATGCGAAATGGACAGTCTCACGGCATCATGCGGGCAATCAGTCCTCTCGTGCATAGAAGCATCGGGTAGAACCTCATCGACGCAATCACGTTCAAGCAATGGCAGCTTCTGATTAGTACGGGTGGCTGCGTTGTTCTTTGAACAGGAGGTTTTCAGTTGGCACCAATCAATGATCTGATACTCATTTTCATTGGGCCTGAACCAGTGAAACCGAGTGTCTACGTAAAGAAACCGCTTCAACAATATTCCGTTTTCGTCCCTAAGCTGAGTGAGATTGTACAGAAAGGAGTGCGTGGCCTTTTCGCATGTGCATTCCAGAAGAGCCTTCCGGGTGGGTTTCTCACATGAGTTGAAGGCGTTCACCCAAATGATGAGAAATACTCGGTTCAGAATGTCCTCTTGAGTGTTTTCCACCTTGTAGTACCTGTCCGTGCCGAATACGAAGTTTCATCGCCAAGTGGTTCAGAAATTTGTATCCAACCCCCTGTTCAAAAATTCACTTTTTCAGCAGATTGACAGGCAAATCCAAACTGTTCGATCATGTCCTAACCATGTCCCGAGCTGCGTAGTAGGATATGTTTCCCGAGCGACACCTCGTGATCGTGTGCCCAGTGGGAAACGGAAAACAAAAATGTGAAATGAACGAAACGATCTACGGTCCCGAGATATGCAACTATATATCGCGTTGGAATGGAGCGAAATTGACCAATGAACTGTGGAATTCTGCATGGACTGTCTGTCTATCGGCCAAACCCTACTACTGTACAAACGACGTTGCCAACCTTACAAGCACTTCAACCTCGGAAGGGCCCTAAACGGCAGGATGTACTTCTCAGGAGTTCACCTCGGCCGCCCCATCGTTGCTACAACTCGCTCTCCTTCTGGACAAAAACCAACGTCACGGAATATCTTCATTCATTCCATATTCATTCCATGCATTGTCCTACTCACACACTGCCGAGGAAGAAGGACATGAAGACGTACAGCACCAGCCTGGCCGCGCAAGTCGCCCATACCACCAAGTGCATGAACAAAGAAAACCAAGGGAGAATTAACAACAACAGGTGAGGCGAAAACGGGAGTTTGCAGGGGAGGTGAACGCCAGACAGAGCATGTTCTGTAGGCCCAAATGGGGCAAAACTGTATCCCTCATCACAAGCGGTGACTAACGAAGGCATTTCATTGGAACTCTTCCTCAAGTTCACAGACCAACGTCTAATAACGACGGGCCGGTCCTCGAATACTGCAGATTCCAGACGAAAAGAGTCGGAATGCTGTGCACCTGGTAGACAACGTGTTGCAGTATTTAGTCACCCTCGAAGGTGCCACTGAGATGTTCGCGGTTCAGTAATACTCTTTCGACAGGAAACGCTTGTGAATTGCTTACCACAACACTGTTGTAAGTAATCTGTTCTGATAGACCAAGTATATCAGACCTCAGGGCATAGGCGGCAGGATCCCTGACACTGCTCATGGTCGCCCTAGCGATCAGCGCACGAAGCTGCCGGAGGTTGGACATCCACCCCGCCTCGGGCTTCGCTTCCAGGGAAGGTGGAAGCGGACCACGGAGACGACTGTGGAGCGTTTTACACGCCGATGAGTCTTTCCAAGCGTCTGCCAGCCGCTGCACGGCCTTGGCGTCGCTGAAGTCGGAGTTCGTGATCTAACAGGTCGACGGCAACGATTGTGTCACCAATTACCGTGATGTCCCTTGGGGCCTGCTTCGTGCATCAATATATGTACATAGCCTGGTACTTCTCCGAGACATATTGCAGGGATAAAAAGTGACATATCTAAAGCAAATATGCTCAACACTCGATCCCCGCTCCTTCAAGTATATGATGACTCTTCAATACATACTTCTCGGAATATCTACGGCAACAACGATTGCATGAATCTAGGAGGAGGTACTGCGTAAAATTATATTCAGGATAGTTCTTTAGGGGTGCAGTACCTCTAGCAGGTAGTCGGCAGGGTTGACGAGGCCGTCTGGTTGGTGCCCCAAGCTAGCGAAGTGGTCGAGGCTGTCCACCGCAGGCCCGAAGTAGGCCGTCTGCCCCATCGTCAACAGAATCACCTGCGCGTGCCAGGTGCAAATGGTTTGTCCCGAAGAGCCTGAGTTGGAGCATCGAAAGGAAACCATTTCCAACACATCTACGAGCATGTTATTTGTCAACGCCTTACGGTAGTCTCGGGGGTTCGTCCCAAAGAAAAATTCCTCTCAATTCAAAATACTGTATATATGTACCTGGCGTGAAAGTCACCCAGGCGTAACGTGCATGTGAGAGAGGGCTTGGTGTGGGGCCACTTTCAATATATGCTCGATCAATTACATGTACGACTTGGAACACATCCCGATATTTTCCGAACTGTAAACACATTGCGATGCCTGCGATCGGCATTTCGTTTTGCGTGAATAACGGTTGCGGGGTTCGGACGGGATGCACATGCTGCTGCAGCGATGATGGCATGCTTCGTGTTCCTGGATAATATTTGTGTGGGCTTTTTCCGTTTTGCTCGCAGTATTTGCAGTTGAGGTGCTCCATTGCTGCTGTTGTGCTGTAGTTCTCACACGGTGATACGTTGACGGTGGATCGCAATCTGACCATACATTTGTTTATCAGCATGAACCACGAAGAATTGTTTTGTCGTGGAATTCGGCCACCATCTTTCTATAAGAAACAGTCATTCCCTCATATTCATCCATGCTGCCGAAGCACAAAGCAAAAGCAGACCAGCAGTATCCCTCTGACGAAAGTTCTGACTCACGGAGAATAAGGCGAGCGTTCCATTTACCTGGTCGAAACTGTTGAACACGCGGCTGGACGGTTGGTGCACGCTTGTGATGATGATCACTCCCGTCTCTGACGCCAACCGCCTCAGCAAATCCATGATTCCGGAGGCAGAAGCTGCGTCCAGCCCAGACGTCGGCTCGTCTTACCGGGGCGGACAGTGACGAGGGTATGGGGGAGTGAGAGAAGGACACGAAATACGATGGCGGCGAAGGCTTGTGACTAGAAGGAAGAATATCGACCGAATATCGACTTTATTCTGGCGAAGGGAAAGTATCACGGCGCTGAGCTGGTTTTATCATAGTTGATGGACGAGAGTCACAAGGGTCTGAAGTCGCGCACATTCGGTCTGGGTCGAGCTGGAAGTGTATGGTCACGGGGGACGCGTGGTAGGGAATTCGGATCAATAAAATTGGTCTTCCTTGGAATCGTGCGAACGTCAGCGGGTATCGTCACCAAAACGGGGGTTCCGTGGTATCGCATGGACACCTACTGGATGACATGAAGTCTCGAGACCGATTGTCTTGTCCCCACTCGTATGCAAGCAAGGCAGAGTCGGCCCATGTTTCAGACGTTTGGGTTTTGTCAACCAAACTTTGAAGCCTCACCGAGGAAGAGAATCTTGCGCTGGACGACGAGCTCCACGCCAATCGAAGTGCGCCGCTTCTGACCGCCGGAAATACCCTTCAGAAAAATATTGCCGACCTTTTCTTCATATTTGTGGCGGGGATCAGGACGCAGTAGGAGGTCGCGCAGACACGGGAAGAAGGCAAAAGGGGTGAAGAGCATTGGTTGTACATCGGAATGTATCTTGTGCACCGCTTGCCATGGGTACAGATACTCTACGACAACCTGCGAAGTCAGAATGACTTAACTGGCGTTCACCGCAAGGCCTACCGTAGAATATTGCGGCACCTACAGTAAGTCGCACCGACCACAGGATAAACCTCGTGACATCTACATCCCCTCTCCACTTGCGAGACGAAGAAAAATATGGCGCTTCGTTTTACCCTCTCTAACCGGGAGATTAATCATTCATCAAGGCAGCACGTCCAAAAGCATGATGCGCCCCACATTCGCCGAAGGGTCATTTCGGATTCCGCACCAAGGTATCAGCATCTACTGTAGCTGTGTCTTGAAAGACATCCCCATATATTTCCTGTTGTTCGATTTCTTCGCCAGTGAAGTCCGGTTGACCGGATTTCCTTGGCAAGTACGCGACGCCAGCCACCGCCCAAAATTCATTTTTTGTGGTTGACAATACTTGCCCTTCCTTCTCCTTGTTATTCAATGTCGGGGTTCTAGCTCAACAGGCGGGAGGTTGGGATCACACACGCGAAGGAGAGAGACATGCCGCACAAGACACCCCACCTTGGTGTGCTGGCAGCTTTCCAGGCCCAGGCTGGTTAACACCTCGTCAACTCGGTGATCGCATTCCGCGCGAGACATGTTAGGTATGTACATCTTGCACGCGAGCATCAGGTTTTCCCGGACTGGGGCACGTTAGAAGAAGGCAGCGGCAAGAGAGGAAAGTTCGGAGGACCATGAAGGATGCCGTTAGTTGCTCAGGATTTCGTCCTTAAATCTGCTCATTGTGGATAATTCACAATCAGCTCTGGCTCCTTCGTGAAGGTCTGCTGCAACTCTACGGACTCTTTCCAGCAGATAACGATGTCCTCTGGAAGCTAAGCCAATACCTTGCTTTCGGGGGTTCGCCTTCCGCGGCTGTCATGCAAGCAGGAAGGGGAGTGAACGGGATAGGTCGTGCTTCAACGACAGGCAGGTGGTCTCAAGGAGACACGCGCGGGCGGTGAAACTCGAAGAAGTTGGTTGAAAATGGCTGTGAGCGTTCTGAACAACCGCTTTGGTTGGAAACGATGTTTCCCATCCTGTCTTAGTGCTGGTGTGAGAACCCTTTGGGAGCGGTTGTTGTGGTAGAAAATCAATCAAGCCAATGTTTGGGATTTTGGAAGAACGTTTTATTTTTTCTCCAACCTAGCACGTCACCTGTGAGAGCACTCCACAAGCGATCCTCCTGAGGAACGTAAGCGGCGTTCTCTAAGAAGAAGGACTTGGACATCGCCTTGCCGTTGACGGTTACATTGCCCGTGATGTGCAGCCCCTTCGTGTTGGGATTTATCTAGAATCGAGTGCAGAACGCGTTCAGTTGTTGGTTGATGAGCTTGTGAAGATGTAGCAGCCGTGATCGAGTTGACAGACACGGTGTGTATTGGTGCGTTTAGCGTAGACGCTTACCCCCACCCAGAATGTGTGCTCGGTAGACTGCTGTACGTGTCAACCCTTTACACCACCGAAGCGCGCCAAGTACTGTTTGGACCAGCAGGCAAAAACTGTCCCGGAATCTCACGCAAACTCGATTCATTTAATCCCAGTGCGCTGTGCATGCATCACCTGTACCAGGCGCCGCGAGGACCGGCATCATCTCTTTCCCAAGCCATTCACTCAGAAAAAAAGGAAGCGCACGGAACACCAAGCTCTCGCCTCCCGCTCCGGCCGCCGCTCAACAGCACCAAGAGCAAATCAAACTGTACGGACGTCATGCCCTACGACGTACCCTTCCAACCAAAACATCGAGCAAGGAGGTCTTGCCCGAGCCGCTAGAACCGATGATCGCAAGAATCTGTCCTGATTCCACCGCTCCGCTGACGCCCCTCAGGATTTTCTTCACCCCGGCAATCCCGCCCATCAAAGACGCCTTTATTTTCGAAACCTCCACGCTCAACCGGACGTCGCGGAAGCGAAAATCCACCTACAGTCGACAGAAAATTCGACCAGCCGGTAGTCTTCGATGTTCCTCGAGAAAATGATGGAGAAGACAGGGAACTGTAGGCTGTTGTCTTCATGGGCAATCATGGATGCTTGCTCAGTCAAGGTTACGGGCCGTGCGAGAAAATGTTGGAAATTGTGCAACTAAAGGGGATGCGTCTGTTTGGCACCGTCCGTGGAAGGTGTTGAAAAGGCACCGTACAGCGATACTTTTTCAGTTCGTCTCCGAGTACAACTCATACTGGCACACAAAAAAATACCCAGTCGAACATTGGCCTGATCGTATGTCACAGTGGCGACTTTGGGGCAGAAGAGTCATAGGGGGCCAAATACAACCAACGGCGGTGTCCTCGCACCTTTTGCCCAGCGGAAGTACTCCATCGCTTGCTCGAACCCGGGGGTACCTCTTGTGTTGCTGTTCCGTTATCGCTCCCCCCATTCTCTATATCATGTGCCATCTTGGAGGCGTCAATGACCTGGTCATAGAGGGAGACATCGGAGGGAAGTAGCAGGGAGACTCATCATCGACTTTTCATTAATCCGCTGCGCCAACACCGCGGAGAGGTCGACCAAAGCAGTTCTGCCCCGGAGCCAGCTTTGCTTGGCAGGTCATTCTCCCTCCACCTCGGACGAGAAAAAGTTCTAGTACACACGAAGTGTCTTGTAGCAGAGTTAAAGGAATCGCCTCGATTTTGCCGGGGAACACAAGGTGGCATTGCGAGTGTTTGGTTGATCACAGGTGGTCCCAAGTTACTACTGTAGGTCAAGCTTCTTTAAAATATTGGTCATTGATATTCATGTTTACTTAATCAGGAAGCCTTCGCACGCCACGCCAGTGAGGGCGGTAGGCCGTTTAGGGGCGATGAGAGAGGGGGTCGAGCTGTCCTTGTCTTGTTCATTGTCTTTGAAACTTGCTTGCACAGTCTAGAACCTAGGGTTAGGGTTAGGGGTAGGGTTAGGGTCAGGAAGTACAGCAGGCTGATTTCCTGAAGGTGGCCTCTATGCACTGCTGTAGTGTGAAGCGTTTTTATTATCGCATCAAGATCAGGCTACGCAATTCATCCCTTGCAGGACTTCCTCACCACGTCAGAAGACGCCGTTGGTGCCTCCGGTTCCGGTTCTGCTGAAGCCATGCTTGAGTATGGTGCGAGTCTGCAACACATCCAACAAAGTGCGACAGACGACGACGCGATGTGCACAGCAACACTTATACATTGTCTACATGTAGGCTACCGCGGAGACAAAGGGCAAGGCCAAGGCGAGACGTACGGGCATGGGAGTTGTAACGCTCGAGTGTATACGCATGAAGTAGGTCTTATGGACAGGTGTTGCAGGTTGGCAAGTCTCATCACGCCAGAAAACAAGACACGGAAGGCAAGACTCATTCAGTTGACGAGACAACGTCAACCAAGGACGAACACTGTGCCGGGGGGCTGATCATCACAGCTGTTTCGATCTTCCAAAACCTGGCACTCGCAAAACCAAGCGCGCACTGCACACGCATTTGACTACAGCTTAGGCCTTACCCCTGGGCGAGTCTCGCGGTTGGGTTCACGCACACGTAAGACGGCGGCGTGGGTACCTACTTTGCTCGCTGCGGCCGACGGTGACGGTTTGATAAAGTACAATCTCTCCGCATTTTCAAACGGCATTCGAACCTTTTCCCGAGATCGCAGACGGCAGGACAGTACAACATGTAGATCTCCCGACAGATCTACAGATTCCCACGCGGCTTGAATGCAGTACTCAGGCACCCGGTTGACTACTTCGGGCACCCGTTGCATCTACCACCCATCCTTAACGGGTACCCTTGCCTGACACGCACTGTTCGAACTTTGGATGTGTGCGCGATGCACGAGCGAAGAACAATGAATCGTTGAACGCGTAGCTCCCTGTAGGCTCCTGTCCAGGTTTGATCGTGTAGAACGGCCGGGGTGTAAAGAAGATGGACCGAGCGGGTGAGCGCCGCATGTGACCCTTATATGGGCAAATGTTAATGTACTTTACTCACGGTGGTCATGTTTTTTCGTTGAGACACATTCCCTTGGAGAACAAAGCACACGTGGAAGTGGGTGGTTTTTTTGGGGCGGGGGCACATCGAGAAGTCAAACACGCTCTCTCTAGTAGAAGCAGAGAATACTCTTGCGGCGCGTCACCAGAAGGCACCTGCGTGCTCTTCCTCCTCTCTGCCATTTGCTGGCGGTGCTGCACGCACACTCAGCAGCAGTGGGAGCGCTGTGATCAGGGTGCAGCTGTCACGCAGCGCACCACAAAAAACAGCAGTACCTGCGAACAGGGGAAGTTCGTTGGATGACTGTCGTCCCACAGCCAATCACATGAAGCCGCCTTAAATCGGAAAATATTCGCCTGCAGGAAGTTTCCAGGAAGCTTTCTTATCTCAAAATCTGTTTCCTTATCTCAGCAAATTTGGAGCCCCAGTCCGAAACTATGTAATAACAAAATTAATACTTTCTGATTTCTGCTCAGAGTCTGTTAACGTCCGTCGAACTTGCACGATGCCTTGCGTGGTCACAGGGCAACTGCTGTACCCCAAAAAGAAGTATGCGCTAGAATAAAAGGGCCTGGAATATCAACACAAACCTTACCACATGATGACGAAAATTGAACAGTACCAGAGGGAAAAACAAACGCCACTAACGTCCAGACATCACCGGCGACATGTTGGGTAAATGGGAAACCATCGCCCCCTGTTGGCATGCGATGCCAAGTAAACCGAACAAAACGAGAACCAAAGATCAAACATAAAGACAACCAACGCATGATTCTAACCTCCCTCGCACACCTCCTAGGCTGGATGAAACAGTATTTCTCCACGGTTGTACCGCCCGTGTCACTCCCCACATACCATGTGGAGAGCTCAAGATCTACAGTCTGCGCCGGTGATTCGCCACGCTCACCCACGCCGCACCCAGCTACAAAGCAAAGTATACAGAAGCATACACAATTGAACACCCACATCACATCCGGGAAAGGTCCAACAGAATGGAAGGGACTAGCACGAAAACGTTTTGAACGGGAGACTTGGGGCGGGCATTCCTAACCCTAATACTTTTTGTTTATGGTACAATTTGGGCCTTATGCTTTCTGCCCTTCTCGGCCTCAGACGTGTCCTCAGATTTCAGCATTCATGTACGCTTGCCCTGCGCAAAAGACAAACTACAGTACTTCCAAATACCATGCATATATACAGCAGCTGCCCGATCAGACCCGGCAACGGTCTACTCTCTACTTGCCCACTTTCACAGTTGGACAAATCCTACCCCCCCCAGCATTTTCAGCACTAGCCCGGTCGACAATCACGAATCCCGGCAGGGCGAATCCGCAGCACCACGAAAAACTGTTCTTTACCCGTGGAGTGGTCAATTGCCCTTGCCTACGGGACCTTCTTGGATCGGGGGCGTCCGATCACACGCTGGTCCCAAACCAACACCGCCGCCAGAGCCACAAGTCCGGCCAAAAGCACAAGCAGAGCGAGAGGCTGGCCGTCCCCGCCGCCCTCTACGAGCAGCGGTGGCGGTAGCATCTGCCCGATAGAGGAGAGGTCTTTCCCGACCACTTCCAACCGCCAGTCCGTGACGAGGTCGATGTACTTGGAGTGAGGCTTCTGACACTCGTTGCTGCCGGTGCCGTTGAAAGAGGAGGTTAGCAGGAAGTCCGCCGAGGCGGAGATCAAGCCGGAGATTATTGCCTTCACGCCTGCGTCCTTTTTTGTGGGGATGGGGGGGGATGAGCCGGGAGGGATAGCCCGAACACGCGCAATAATTTGCATGACTTGTTATCGTGAAAGTAGAGCTCCAATACGCCATCTCTCTACTACAATAGCATCTATTAATAGGTCAACCAGAGGTATGTTGTTGTAGGATGCCCTTCTGATCATGGCAGAGTAGAAGGGGGTCTCTCTGTGGGGTGGGTGGGTGTCGGGTCAATTAACCCGACCTGTAGTGTGGTAGTAGCGGGCACACCCGCCATGTCCAAACTAAGGAGAATAAAACAACAACTTGATTGTTTCTATCTGAGCGAAGATATTTCACCCACCCCATATCGGACCGAACCGCCAATGAGTCTAGAGGGACCCCCGACTGCAGTCGAAATCGGGGCTATTCAGAAAATCAGCCGTCGTCGCTCATGAGCGAGAGAGAGCATGATGTTCGATTATTCCTTCTTTCAGACACGCAGGGCGCGATTAGGCAGTCGTACGGGCGGCGACAAGGGATCTGCTTCCTTGGAAGCGTGCACGTATCACAAGTCGAGAGCTGATTTGTGCTTCGATAGCACCATCACGGCGTGAAGCCTTTCATCGAACAAAACGCAAAAATTCAAATGGATTACGGCTGGACCAGTCATGAACCTTGCAATGAACACCTGCAACACCTCGACAAGACACACACACCCAAAACTATCTATTAGGCACGCATGCCATACTTGTTTGGCTTCAGCTCGTCACTGGTGGACGACGACATCGTTGACGCAATCAATACTGCTTTAATACCCAAAGCCGCACCCGCTCGTCATTTAGGATGTCGTAGACGGTGTTATCCATCGCACAAGGGTAGTCCCCGCGGATTGCATCCACGACGCCGTTGTTCGCGGACACCACCTGCTCGTAAGCCAGCAGAGACAACCGGCACACGCGAGTCGACGGGACCAGAGGGACCAGGCTCGGATTGGGAGCAGGAGTAACAGGCATTCCGACGGCATCATCGTGGATAAAGACGGTACCGCAACTAGCTTTGGGGGCACACGCCGTGCACAGGGTGCCGACCAGACTTCTGCGGTACCTCAAAGGGCGATATTCGTTGTTGTGTAAGAACATAATTTCTCGTAGTATCAGCCGCGCCAAAACTGGGGGAATCCCCAAAAACGCTAAAACCGAGTCAAACCGTTCCAGAAAGCTCTGTGTTTTCACGAGGTCCCCCACAGGGGGCGCCGTTAAGGTGTATTTGGGTGTACAGTATCCAAACGATGTGTCGCACCGTGGCGTTGTAGGTTGTCGAGGTCTCCCCCACCAGGTCGGTGTTGAAGAACACCTGACTTCGACTAAACCCCAACGACAGACGCCGCTCTTCTACAGCCGACCGCACGTGGAGCCCGTAGCACTCCGTCAAGTTTCCGGTGGACGTCTCCGTCCTCCACTGCACAGACAAGAACCCGCCGTCCTTCCAACCCTTGTGTCGAGAGCGCGTCGTTGTCGTCGTCGCGTTGCGTGCACATGTCAAACGTGTGTAGGGAATGGTTGCACACGAGGCGGTGATGGGCGCGTCGAACGAAGCAGCTTCAGACCGTTGTGCAGAGGCGCAGTCGGAGCGTGGCGGGATGTGTTTTCCGGTACCAGGACCTTTGCTGTGTAACGTGGTGTCACATATACTCTGGTGATTTAGGTTCAGGGGACCGACTTGTTTTCTTGCGTCGTCCCGAGTACAATACCTCCTTTCCCTTGCCCTGGGTCTGTTACTGCTGTGAATACCCTTGATAGGCAAAGAAAGCAGAAGCGAGGACGACGATACGTGCATCCTGTCTGCGCACGAACGACATGCCTCTCATTTCCATAGACAGACTCAGGAGTAGCCGAAAGTATTGGCACGAGCGTTGCGGGAAACCCATGCTTGCCTTCTTTGTGTTTGTGGTTTACATGCGAAGTACCGAAAAACCCTCTCCGGATGTGCGATGCTCGTGTCCTGTGTGGCATTTTCGTTCGACGTCCACCCAACCAAGCATCCTACTCGGAGATGGAGGGAGGTATTTAGGCCCGTCCTAAGCCATATCCAAGACTCCACCGACATTTGGGTGCTTAGATTATGCAATAGTGTGATTGCCGTGTTCAGCCTAAAATATTCGACACCGCCCCAATTTTGCTGTAGAGATATGGCGGTGATATTCACCGTCATTTCAACGACGTACAGTGCACGGAAATACTACTTTTATTGGGTTGACTGACCTCCTGCGCCTCAATGAGTTGTCCTACCGAATCCAGGTACAAGGGGTTTGGCCTCAGAAGATCCACGGGTTCTCGCCTGAGAGCGCTTTTCCACGCCATCTTCATTACGATAACCTGTCGTTTTCATCACGATAACCTGTCGTTTTCATCACGATAACCTGTCGTTTTCATCACGATAACCTGTCGTTTTCATCGCGATAACCTGTCGTTTTCATCACAACAACATGCCAATCCACCCACTTCATCTCGATGCAAGTTTCGTCACGACCACCTGCTACAGTAGTAGTCCGTCCCGAAAAAGACTGCTGCAGCTGATGCAGCACAAGCGAATCGTAGTTCCGGCAGGCAACGTCTGCCTCGGATTCGCAGCAGCCGTGTTTGACAAGCAGAACCTTCAAAATCAAGGTTTTCGGAATAATTGCACTAGAAACTGTAGCAGGTTGATGACCGCAACGATCTCGCCTGCCACTGGTCGTACTCCTCAAAAAAGGATGTGATGTTGCCCGCTGTGACGAGGCTGGGCAGCAGCGTCTGCTCCCACTCCGCCGAAAGGACCGTCAGAAAATCTTCCGCCGACAGGAGGCGATCTCGCAGCAATGCTCGAAACGCCCAGAGATCTAGGATTCGATGGTACCTGTTGAGGTGCAGTTGCGTCCCCCCGCCAGAGAACAGGCACGGGGAGGGGGAGACGAGGAAGAGGGTACCGTTGATCACGGCGAGGTTGCTAGTCGGTTGTTTATCGTAAGTCTTGGCAGTCTGATCTGAGTGACAATGTGACTGTGTGGTTCCCTCGAGATCGATCGCGGTACTTCTGTTCGCCGATATCTAAACTTAGACCCAGAAACATGTACCCTGAGCCACACATAGGAGGGGAATGCCACCGGAAAATAAACACAATGTGCCCGAAGGAAAATCTCTGCACTCGAGACCAGGACGATCTACAAACTCTGTGACCATTGAGCCCTGGCCCAAGGCGGTGCCCAACTTGCACAGCTGACACGCGGCAACCCAAACTCGTTTTATTTTCTCAGAAACTGGACACCAAAAAAAAAAAGTAACTCACGAGCACAATCTTTCGCAGTCGAAGTAGTCACACGACCCGAGGTCCGCGTCAGCCGTGGAGATCCGTGAGTGCTGCATGGGGAACTCGACGAGGGTGCGGTTGAGAGCTTTGGCAATGACCAGACCATCGGACAAGAGAAACCTGTTGTTGCCTAGTTGTTCCCTGAAACGAAAGCATGTGTCGGCATGGTATCATAGGTCACGATGTTGAGACGAAACGGGACTGCTTCCGTGGCAGCATCGAAGATAAGATAGGGTTTGGGTGGGGGGATGTACTCATAGTCGTGCATGCCGTAGTCGTTAGACCATTGACCTCGCATCCCTACAAAGCCGGGACGGAGCACGCCGGGTTCTCACCGGACCACGCTATCACATCACCAAGCGCGAAGCGCCGTGAGGTATTCGGCGAGTCGCATGAAGGGTGAGCTGCATCCTGCTAAGGTTGTTCGGCATCTTGTGCTTACTTCCTTGCGTATGGATGACAGCTGCGCATGACTTAATTTATTTTCTGGTGCTTTCACTTCCAGAGACAGTTATAAGCACTGCTGTGTAGCTGCCTCGAGGATGCTTTACTATTTTAACACTGCGTGGTGCGATCATCCCCCTTGTGCGGAGTGAGGGTTCTCCACCCCGCACAACATGATCTACTCGACCACCACTACGGTTAGGGGAAGAAAAATCGAAATATGCGGCGGTGTCTTGGGACGAATGGTGATTCACGACGTCGTGGTTTCACCCACGGTTTTAATACCGCCAACACAAGGATCCCCACGTCAATATGAAAAAAACGTGGCATGGGATGGGTGGGCGACTAATGCTAGGACGGTCTTCGCCAGTATCTTAAAGTGGCGTAGGATGGGATGGAATGGGATGGGCTGGCGACTAGAGGTGGGACGGCGATTGGACAGGTCCGACGACAGCAGGTACTGGAAGCTTGCGACTCAGCACGACCAAGGTAGCACCCTCGAGCCAGTTTTACGACGTGAATGTTTCGCAACGACGACGGTTGGGTGGGGCAGGTGGCCAAGTCTCGAAAACCTGACACGGCCGTTGGTCCGACATGTCGTGCCACTGCTGCATGAGCAGCGGAAGGCGGGGTGAAACCACGTGTCAGTATATCAATATCATCGATTGAACTGTGATGTTTGCGGCCGCGTAGACCTCACGAATCGCGAAATCGCGAACAGGAAGCATTAACAGCAGGTGGTCTACTTTACGCTTCACCAATCGACAGCAGTGCATCGTCGGGAAAAACAAGGAAACTCGGTCGGCAAACAAACCTCCGACATCTGTCATGATGCACCATATACCAAGGTTAACTTTCAACCGACATACGAGGCAGCTGCCTACAGGAAATTAAACAAGAATAAACCATAAGGCACACTCGCACCTTCCCTCCGAGAACAACAGGTAACCCCCCGGATCGACCTCCGTCTGGAGCTCCGGGACCCCCCAACTCTCCATGCAGGTGCTAGAATCCCACCGTGGCGGAATGTTTGTCGATCGTCTACCTTCGGCTTGTTGAACCCCTGCTTAGGTTTCGTTGTTTTCGTGATTGTGTTTGGGGTAGCGGCGTGTCGTTGTCTCTCCTCCACTTCCGACCCCCCTCGCGTAACGCGTCAGATGCAGAGAATGGAAGAGAATCGTATCGCCCCCAATACACATCACTGTATTGGGACTGCGCTGTCTATGACAACGCTCTGGCAATGCACCAGCTGGAAGCAGTTCAAATATTTAGGGAACGGCGTTATCAGTAGAACTAGGCGTAGATTCGTGGCCACGCCGTGGGCCGATCCGAGGACCTCGGTAAGCTGCGGGTTCTGCTGTGCATACCACATTGATCGGGATTTATCGCCTGGGTCATGCCCGACTGCTACTGAAAGAGATTGGCATGGGCTACATACGTGCTGAAACACCGACATGCGGTGATCGGCGATACCGAGGGGGCCAAAAATAGGTCCACCCCGCTCCCAACTGAAAACTCCGTGACAGCAGGAGGAGGTTGTACAGTAGACATACCTTCAAGCGCGGCAGTGCTATCGCCCGACCTAGCCTCCGCCCCTTGCAGCCACTCTCCGCCAGCCTCCTTCCCAACAAGCACACTGAAATTGAGAGGGGGAACCTCGTCCGGGATGCTCGTTTCTCCCCATAGCCGCCAAGCCGACACATTGTGCAGAAGAAGCGCCCAAATTGCCCTGTGCACGCGAAGGACCAGGTGTGCGTGCGTGCGCAGGTAATTGCTCTGTGCAAAGACTTGTCTATTGAAGACAAAAAACAGAATCACCCGGGCCGCGGCGGTGGAAGCAGTTTATCGTAGTCTCATTTGAGAGAGCCCTGTGCGTGCTGTGTGGTGGGATCGTCCCTTTTTTCTGGGGTGCCAGAATACAACTCCACATTTTTTTTATGCTTGACGTACCAACACCAGTGGTCGGCCGCACATGCGGAAAGAAAACACGAGAATCACATCCCTTTCGACTGAGGTTATATCTCGAACGGGTAGTCTTTCTGTGAGGTTATGTTTACTTAAAAAAAACCCGAGAATCTGTATTTTTACGCCCGCCCTCCTGCGCTGCTTGCCATCAACTTTTGACACGAAAATGGTCCAGCAGCCCATTCCCTCCTCGTGGGGCGTACTCACGATTCTGCGCTATTCACTGCTACGAATTTACTCACTCCTCCAAGGAAAATCCTGATCCACTGTTTTTTTAGATGCATGGTCTACGCTTGGAAAGTGGCATGGATGGGAGCTCCGACATACTACCTCCTCTGAATGTCGAGACGTTTAGAACGCCTTACACTCCAACGAAACGATCGATCCCTGCAAAGTTGTTGGGTCTTGTCGCTGTCGCTGCTGATGCTCTGCCGTTGGTGTTCATTGCTTTCACATATACCGCTCTCCCATCAAGCAAATGGCATTGGCTTTTGGGGCAAGAGGGCGCCCAGCGACAGAAAAAGCAGCCCAACGGTCCGGGGTAATTCACTAGCCGCAAGGGCGGTCTTGATTTACTGGAAACATCGCCCTCCTTCCTTTCTTTGTCGAAATTCAGGAGTGCTTGGCATTTGCGGACGCCCCCCTGCGGAGCGTTCCCGAAGGGGCTTCGAAAGCTTCGCTGGCAACTGCCGTTTTTTCCTCCGGCAGAACAGGTGGCCAGAAGAAAAGGAAATTGGTAAGCTCCTGTGTTTCGATTGTACGTTGGAAAGTGTCTTGGCGCGATTCTTGTCATAGAACACAGCATTGCCGTGCCAAGTGCACCCTTCACGCCGATCCTTGACCGATACATCCTGTAGCAAGCTACGCAAACGCTCACCCGTGCAGACGGAGGCTATCCACCGTGAGCGTCGTTGCCGGTGATGATGGGACGATCATCGCTCCGACCAGAGCTGCACCATCAAATCGTAGTGAACAAGGCTTGCCCTAAGCCCTCCTCTGTCTCTGTAGTATGGGTATACCCGGCCTGCTGCTTGCACACGCAGCACAAAGTAATGCGCCAACGACAGAACGGTGCTGGGAGCGGGGGGGGAGAAACGCGGGCCAGTTCGTCCGATCCCGAAACGGCACATAAATCGCCGGCGAACCGACCCCCCCCCCATCACTGCCATCCTTGAGCCCCCCACGCAGTTCAATCAAATCAACGCAACACAACACAACAATCGGCACGCAGAGGCTGTTGCAGTAGCGCAGAGGCTGAGTGGGGGGATGCGAAGTAGCAGCAATACCTCCAGCAGGCGAAGCAGAAGCAATAGCGGGGGCAGGACCGGGAGCAGTGGGAACCTGGGCGTCATCGCGGCCAAGGCGCGAGGAGAACAACACACTCGTTCGAGTTCGGTGGTCGACCTGGTTGACATCCTCGAGAAGAAGGAGCTGTCGGCCGCCGAGGTCATGGTCATTCGACAAAGCATGGTGCAGGTCAGTGGTGTGTGAGGCCCGGTCCTGCGGTATCGAGGACGTACGCCTCCTTTTCCATCGCTGATGTGATTGTTCTGCGGCGGGGTGTTACACCTGGCTCACACGAATGCTGCCGCCTCTCTGTTGCTCCAAGTCTTGCCGCCGGCCCCCTTGTTGGCAACAACGCTTGATCGTACACACCCGCCGGGGATAAAGCGGACAGGCGAGATGCTAACCGATTATCAGCGTTGAGCGCTGCTTGCCCCTCACAACAATGACACCCGCAACTACACTCGGAGATTGCAGCCGACCAATCCATTTCGGCGCCCCAACTTCCAAATTATGGAGGGGAGTTAACACATGTACCAAACGCCACGCAACAGGAGGTTGTTCTATTATACACGTTCAAGCTTTCGTCTCCTGCGCGTGCATGTCCCCCTGAGGACACGCACTGCTGTATGTGTATGACGTGCCTCGTACAAACAAATCTTAAGACAAACACACAGCCTTTTGAGTGTGTGATGTACTCCAACAGACGGCGTACGTGTAGACGGGGCGGTATCGTTTACCATTCTCGGAATTCCTCATCAAGGGCAGTAGCATCTGTGCTGCGCTGCTGCTACCATCCCACGTCCCATATGTTTTCTCTTTCTACACGGCGAGGAGTACTACTGTAGATAGGGCGGCGGGGTAGTGGGCCGCGGGACCTTGCACTCGTCTAATCTGCGATGCTGTTGAACACTTCCGAATTGTTCGAATATTCTTTCCGCATCTTTCAAGAATGGTGCATCCGCTCGCCGCTGGAGCGTAAAATATTGTTCTGAGCTTCGTGTGACGACTGCGTCAACAGTACCAACGCCGCGACTTCGCTCTCCGCTGCAGCAGCAAAAACTCCCATCCACATGGTACTTTCACCATCATCGTGAGCTTTTCCAACGGCAAGAAGAGCGCATCGTCAAGAATCCTTGTTGTATAGCCAGAGAGCGGGCACCGGGTCTGCTGATCTTTGCAGGCAGTGTGATAGTTCGCCCCTGTTGTCACACGCCCTGCATGTGCGTCGGGGCAACCACCCGCTGCAGGTGGCTCTGGCAGCCCCCCTCACCAGCTTCATGACTCCCGCGATCTGACCCAGGTTCAATTATGTGGTACCATACATGCATTTGATGTTTCCCCCCCTATTTTTTTGTTTACCACAATACCGCACGGGTGGTTGTCAATAATCACCACCGGGTGTGTTGTGTTTCTTCTGGCGTAATCGGTATCCACTTTCTGGACGGTACCTAGTCCAGAGGTCCCATCGCTTACGCCCAATCTATGTGCGCCAGCAATCGCAGCAGCACCTTGTACCCGGTCCATCCTCATGTGCTTGGTTCTACCCTTGCTCGATGTTCACAGACTCAAGACAGACTGTTTGTAGCGACCAACCCTAACGAGGTCGGCGGCGGCACCGGTGCCGGTTCGGCCGAACGAAAGAGCTCGGCGGCGTCGGCTGGAGCGATGGGGGAGGTGGTTGGCGACGACAGCATGGTCGTGGGCAAGGGCATCATGATCAAGGGCGACGTTGACAACTGCGCGGTGAGTTAAGTCTCCACTGGTAAATGTTACCTGGCCACGAAACTTGAAAGAGTCTGTTGTTCTTTGTTTTTGTGTATCTCTTCGTGTTGTTCTTCGCATTCCTACGAACTAAACTTACTTGGCATTGTTTGTGTGTGGTCTTGCGACCAAGGCAGGCTTGCGTGCCGGCAAAGATCGTGACGAACGAGGCACCCTATAGCAAGCACGAAGAACGGGTGACCGTGCACCCACCACCGGTCGATGATACGTTCAAAGCAGCACAACGCGTTTTGTTTTGCTTTTGCCTGGCGGTCAGCGAGTGCACCCGCCCCCCCAAAGAGAACCACTTAGGATCAAGAGTCCGGCTTCCAAGCGCCCATATGGATGTATGGGTTACGCTCATGCACCCTCCCTTCCCCCCACCCTTCATGCCCGTTCGGTTTAGACTCTAATCGTGGAAGGCTACTTCGAGGGAAACTTTCGGGGGGGGTTCCTAGCTGTGCCGAAGGGCGGCAAGTACGTGGGGATGGCTGACGTGCGAAGAGCTGACATCGGCGGCCGGTTGCACGGGACCCTCAGCGCGAGCACCCTACTCGAGGTATTTTCCACCGGTTCTTCTACGGCAGCAGCATGATGGTAGTAAAGTCGATCCCGCTTTAAGGTCACCCGTTTTTTGTTTTTTGTTTCGAAGTGTCCTCAACGCCGGGAAGTGTCCTCACCCCCCTCTCTATGTTGTATGTATATTGCGCGCCCTACTTCTGAGGTTTATTTTGTTCCTTAAGATCTGAGTTGACTTGAGATGAGCGTCGTTAAAGCGGGGAAGACTGTAGTAATACCACAGGTTTGCATGAGATACCGCACACCCCGGAGCGATAAATACTGAAAGGTCGACGGCTAAGGAGGATGCCGGAATCAAAAAATGATCCGGTTTCGGAAAGCTGTGGACGTGACGGTTCCAACGCCTCCCGCCGTTTGCGGCACTGTCACTGCTGTTTTTGCCGCAGAGTAAACAAGTCGACCTTTGGAAGTCGGTCCAGGAGGTATGGTATCTTGCGTGGCCTATCACACGAAGTTATGTACCGTCGTGGTATGCACGGGTAGTGGCGTGGTTCTCCCACAAACACCAATACCGAAGAAAAAAATCGTATGATGGGCCACCTATGATACCATACTCCCTGGACCGAATTTCATGACATATGCATGGATGGCGGCTATGCATGGATGGCGGCATGCGTCAAGCACGAACATCAATGCCGAGATTGATTGAATGTTTCGTTTTCAAGCGTTCGTGATTTTAAGCACGGCACCATCCATGCATGCCACAACGGCACATGATGGGTTATGCAAGATACCATACCCCATAGACCGACTTGCAAAGTTTGAAAATTGAGATTCTGCTGGTACCCCTGCTCGCGCTACCTTCGGAGCTCTGTACTCTTCTGCGATGGTTACTCAGTTGATTGACAGAGCCGAAAATGGCGGGAGGCGTTGGAACGACATGGTATGCTCGATGGCGGCGTAAAACGAACGTCAGCAAAATGGTGACTGTCGTGTTTAATCTTCGTCGCCAGAAATATCGCGGGGTGGGCTCAACCGTTTTGGACGCTTGAGGTCGTTTGTTTTACCGTGTAGATTTATTTTATATACCACATCTGAACTCACGAGTTTGTTGTGTTCTGTTGTGTTGAAATGCGATTGTGGCGCATATTCTGGTGCCAGTCTATCCCGTTGGGGGGCACGCGGGAGGAAGGGAATGTAATGGAACGTACTGCTGTACCACGGCAACTTTGTTTGTGTGTACTTTGCCGACCTTCGTTCACTAGAACGGCCGACAAACGTCGGCCACGCTTGACAATTGCTTGCCGCATTGCGACAAGAGCGAAATGCCTCCGCTGGTGAACGGTTAATCACCCCTTCAGGGGCCCTGACTCGGTAACAGAGAAAGGGGAGGGTATACTCATTGGCCTGGACGAAGAGATGCTCATCAACAGATTCGGTGGACTTGGCTCGCAGGGTCGTAACGTCCCGAGCAACGTTCATTGTGTCCACGCACGCAGTTGTGGGTGCCGCGTGTTTTGCGGGTGGGTGTCATTCATGCTGCAGCAACACCATAATTTTTTTTGTTAAACGATTTGATGCTTGTATGCTATGCGTGTGTGATAGTCATGCGGTATGCAACACCACCAACATGTACATTTTTTTGTGCTCGTTCTGATTACGTGCATGCGCGTTATTGTTGCTTCGTGCGGCATGCAACAACATCACCAAGACGTTTTAAGTATTTGATACTTGCATGCAAATGCGTAGGTGCGGGCATCCGGCAAGATCGAGGGTATGGTGCGCTATAACGACGTCAAGCTCGAGCAGGGGGGCAGCATGGTCGGCGATATCCAGCAAGGAACGAAATCGTAGCTGGACGGCATATGAACAACTGGTACTTGTCGCCGCGTGCGCGATGATGACGGCCTCGTGCCGTAACTGCTATATGTTGTGCTTCGATTACGATCGGAGCATGTGTGTTCAATCGTTCGTTGCACGCTGCTGCTGGGGTCTGATATTGGCGGGGCCGGGGCGGTTCTGCACTTCTTCCTTGTGAGGATGCCATACCCTCTGTCAAGCCGTGCTCTTGCAAGTAGTACTCTGCTGCGTCAATCACTCTTGTGGCGTCCTTGCTACGTCGGTTCTTTTGTCTAATGAGCTCCGTCAGGTGGTAACATGGGTTTACATTTAGGTCGTCTCGAGAGCCGGTAGAAGTAGATACGCGGCAGATGTTCATCGCTTGAAAGGTTTAGTATTTTTTTTCCGTGTCACTCCGTCTGTATGTACATTAACTGCTGAACATCTACGGTTTGGTGTTTCAAGAATATTAATCAGTCCCATGTTGTACACGGAGTGTACAATACTGTAGTCGACGTGGTAGTGCCATTCGTGTTCTCCGACGTATTCGTAGTGGAGACGTTTAACACTGTGCAGGCGTTACCACAGTCGTCCACCCTGTCGTCTCGTCTTTTGATTTTTCAGGACCCCCTAAACTTTCAGTTCCCGACTGCAGGGAGGGTCGTGGAAGTTTTTCTATACCAGGGGGGAATGTTTTCGTTGCGTTATTTTTGGGAGTGACGTGGTAGGGATGGGGTACGACAGGTGTTGAGGGGAATTCCATTAAGGAGGCACTCATGAGCTTTATCGCTGTTTGCTTGTGTTGTTGTCTTGGAACACTTTTGGTTAGGCCCGCCTCGTGGAACACTTTTGGTTTAGCCGACGCTTGTACTCCGCGAAACACAAAAAGCATTAAATGTGAATCCGACGTTTTTTTAGTACATAAACACATGACAGCAGGAAGCCCTTGCGGGAACGCCACGCCAGCAAAAAGCAAGAAACACACGAGTACTGCTGTAGCAGCAACTCCCGTGCGTGGTATGGCGACGCAACGATCGACAAAAAACAACACCCGTTTGAGCAACCCTCCAGAGTCGTGAAGACATTATGCGCTCTATGCATACGTTAGCAAGGGCCAAGACGGTCAGCCAAGAGAAGGCAATTCTCGGCGAAAAAAATACAAAACGACGACGATGGCTATGCACGACGCGGCAACCTTGTCAACGATCGATGCCGCAGCTCCGCAGACATCGGAATAGGCTAGGCCAGGAAACCGTGGCTTGTTCAACACGGGCTGCCCGGTCTGGCAGTCTACAACAGCATTCCAATGACACACACTGCACAGGCCGAACATAAAACAAAAGGCGTACGATGCGTGCATGTCTTCGTCAACCAAGCGTTCGCCGATGTCAGACTGACAGCTGGGTTCCGTGCAGACTTGAGAGAAGAACGAAACGACGTTGTTCAGAAAGAAATTGCTAAAAATAAATTACTAATTGTATGGTAGGTGAAACGGCCAACGCGGAACCGGGCGCGGCATATTAACAATCACGCACATCGTCACCCCTGCACGGTGTCAGGCACACGGACACTACTACTAGACGGGTTGACGCATATTCGTTGCTTGGTGTCCACACCGATGGCACGACGGAAAAAGGGGAGGACAGCACGCCTCGACAGCGATCGCACCATATGCATGCAGTACAATAGAAGCGCATGTGACGCACACGAGAACGACGTAGCGAAACTAGCGGGTGCATCGCAACCGCGTAAGCCCCCCCCGAGACGTCACCCTCGCGGAAACTTGCTTGATAGGAATAGGAACAGGTACTTGTCTCCGGCGCCAAGAGGGGGTTTCCTACGGTACGACTGGCCTGGAGCACCTCGTGCCTTCCAAGCTATGACTGCTGTGTGACCGGACACGCGTTGCGAGCCAGGGGGGGAACAAAATTCGGCCAGCAGCAGCGTGTCGTCTTGTCCTTACTCTCGAAACACCACCTGGCGGAGGGTGACCCCCCCTCAAATCACCGCACGGCGCCCCCGCGCTCCATCCTGGTTGTAGGGGGTACCCCCTTCCCTTACCGTCACGGTGCCCTGCCTTATATCCTGGACGGAGGGGTGGGTACCTCCCTTTCCTCACCGCCACGGTGCCCCCTTCACTCTGCACCCTCCATTGCAGTTAGGTTCCCATGCCCTCAACGGCAAGGTCAAGGCTTAAGCCGCGAGGTAGGAGGCGGCGGCTTCGACGTCCCCGTTGGTGAATTGCAAGGCCTCTCGCGCCTCCGCGGCGGTGAACCCCATGTCCTGCACAATACAGTACAGTACAGTACAGTAAAGCGATTGTATGTGTATCTCCAAACAAAAAGCACGACACGATAGATGTAAGGAAAATGGTGCCTTGCAAAAGATCCACATTTATACGGCAGTTTGGTCACCTGCCACTCGAGAGATATCGCAGTCTGCAAGTGGGCCTAACAAACCTCAACCTTGATCATAGAAAAAGACTCTCAACACACAACCCTACAATACTCGAAAACCTAAGTTAATAGTCGATGTTGGGGTTGCCCAAACAGAGGACATCGGAAGTAACAAACGATCCGAGGCAAAACAAGAGGTTTTCGTTTCTTGTGCATGCACGCGTACGGGCGTATGTTTTCTGCACACAGCGATAGCCGAAACAACGGCAAGCAGCAACCGTCAACAATCAACCAAGGAAGAACCTTGTTTCACCTGGAGAGTCAGCACGTCGTGGTCGCTGGCCGCCAGCAAAGGTGCCGCCGCCTCCCCTCCCCCTCCGCCGGCCCCCGTTCTTCCTTCCAGAGCCGCCAGCCTCGCCAACCGCGCCGTCTCTGGATCGTGCCTTGTCTGGCTGCTGCCGTCATTAGTCATTACCGTGGCCATGGCAGGTACGCAGGTCGTGAAAACAACGTATCGCCGGGGGAGGTACAGTCAAACTAAGGAGGTAGGTAGTGCAGCCGAGACCCATCCGTATGGATGGCACCCACGAGTGAAATAACGTCAAACAAGCGAAAAAAACGTCTTCCGAAAGCTATACGGGGGGATTTATGGCCCAGGCCCCACGTACCAAGAGAAACACGAGTGAAGATTAAGCTAATCGGAGAGCGGTAGGGAGGAAACTATTAGCCCAGGCCCGACGCATTAACCGAAACACGTGTGAAAATAAGATCATCGAAGAGAGATGGGGAGATACAGATGTGTAACCCAGGCGCCACGCACGAACGGAAACATGGGTGAAAAAGAAGTGAAAACCAAGTGCAAAAAAACGAAATCGTAGAAAATCGTGAGGTGAGTATCGCCGGGACCCGACGCATGAACGGAAACACGAGTGAAAAAAAGTGAGTGACAGAGCGAAAAAGTGAAGACCAAAATCATCGGAGAGAGGAAGAAGGGAGAAATGAAAAACCCAAATCCAGCGCAATACGGGAACAAAAACGAAAGTACCAGCACAGAAAAGACACTCGGCATCCATCCACTCAAGAAGGAAGAGGAGCACACAGGAACACTGGTAACCGTATGCTGTTGCAGCCATGAGAGCGCTTCTGTCTCCAATAACAGGGTGGTGGCGATTGCGTATTGCTGGCCATTTCGCTGCTTTCAAGGATTGCAGCTGCCGCAAACACCGACCAAGGGCTAAGAGTGTGGCAATAGTGTAGTGCGCTCTTACCGCCCACTACTACCTACCGTTCAGGTTGACAACCACTACTCGAAAGGGGGCAAGAGATAGCAGTTGTCGTTGTCCCGTAACAACTATCTGGGGCTGGCTCATCCATGCCACGTCACACTACAGCACGCCATCTGGCATACATTATCGAAGTGGAGCATGATTTTCTGCTTCTGGATCTGTCTCTCGTCTGTTGCTGTCCTGCTCGATTAATACCTTTGCCTCTCCCGTCTCTGTTGCCGTTTGTTTTTATCTCCATACCTGCCGTCTTATCTATCTTCTCTCTCTCTCTCTGTCTCTCTCTCTCTCCACCCCACCGCCTCTCTCTGTCTCTCTCACCTCCGGCCGGAAGATCTCGTGCCCCCGCCTCCCCCGCCGAGAGTCTGACCCGATCCGGCAAAAGAATCACCCGACGATGATCCTGCGGTGCCCCCTCTCTTGACCACGTTGTTCGACCCGAACCCTGAAGGAACGAAGGGAGGAGTGAGGCATGCCGTCACATCAGCAAGGCAGGGTGGTGCCCACTCGATGCAGCCACCCCGTCAGATGACCACAAGCTTAGCATATACCGCGGACTAAGCAACGCTAGATGATGAGTGTAGAGTACACCCCCGACAGGAGGAAAGTTAGATCGGTCGCCGTCCTCGCCATTCGCAGTCGCGGGCAGCTTGACTCAGCTTCGTTCCGAGCGCTTCCTTGGCTCTTCATCAGTTAAGTTACGTACTTCCGCCACTCACAAGACCATCACCACCATCAGCAACAGGCTGGTCTGTTGCTTCCACGACCCCGTTGCTTGTTTTCGAGCTCACCATCGTACTTCCAAGTTACATCTTGGCACGACAGGTGCTTGCTAGGATAGCGCCAACAACAACAGCAGCAGCAGCAGCAGCAGCAGCAGCAGCAGCAGCAGGTGCAGCTTCAGCAGCACACGAACACACAGCGGCCACTCGGATTGTTGCCTACGGGCTCCCTTACCTCCCTCATCTCCTCCCCCCGGAGCCCCCCCACCGCCGCCGCCTCCAAACATGCTGGAAAACCCGCCGCCGCCACCCCCGCCCTCGGCACGTTGATTGGACGGGTGGTCTGCGGGGTTGTTGAGGGGGGTGCCAAAGGCGGCCGCCCCCATCGCAGCGCCGCTAACAATGTAGCCCTGCAGTGGCCACAGATCAAGGGTTGGGGGGGAGCAAACAGAGGACGATGTTGTGGCGGAGCATATGGTTCTATGACCGAAGGATGCTCCTGTGTTTGGAGGCGTGCGGTTTTCGGGCAATGCTGAATACGTCTAGCGGGGGGAGAGTGCCGAGCGGTTGCAGGTACAGGACACAGGCCACAACCGTTGTTTTTGGTTTTGACAGCGGTGCACAGCGCGAGCAGCACACGATGAGAAGAACGAGCCAACTCCACAGCAACGGCGACAACACCACAATACCAACACCACCAATACATGATGTATGATATGCATACACGAAACCCAACAAAAGCTAAGCTAGCTTCGTCACACAGCAGCAGTGGCTTGGCTGAGGTTCTTCACATCTGTGGGGCGATGCGCTCAAACAAGCCGGAAGTTCAGCTTGCAACCCGGCAGCCTTTACAACCAGCAGCAAGTTGATCGTTTGATCGTTTCACTTTGCACACCGGCCGCTCCACGAAATTCGCCAGGCAGCCCGACTCCCAGCTAGCCAGCCTAGACCTCGACGGCTTCAGCCGGTCCAGGCGTCCCTGAAGCAAGCACAAAAGGCAGAGTTACGGCGGTGCAACCACGCCAACCTGAGTTACGACGGTGCAACCAACACGGCTATCTATCTTTCAGAGGTTGTGCAACAACAGCAGTAGAACCGGTACGGAGACAAACCCTGCCATCGAATTTCGGAAACGCCTCTCGGACGATCGGAGATGGGTGCGCACGAAGCATACTAGCAGTTCGGACATGGCTCACGTCCGCGTAGGCGTAGCCAATCCCGACGGCACAGAACAGGTCCATCCAGGCCCCCCTCATGAAGCCAAATATGCACGCCAGGAACAGCGGGTAGTACTTCCCAGGAATGTCCCACGGGAGAATGAAGAACCTGCAGGATTAAAAGTTGTTCCGGTGCCTTCAAAGATCCATATGCCATCCCGGTATTGCTCGGTAGTGTACCGTACCGGACTCTGCTAGGTGGTGGTACCTGCTGAGATCCGTATTGTACCGATTTTCTGCTCATTTGTGCTTCTACATACACAAGAAACCATGGCGTGCAGGTTCTCCAAGGCCGCGGAGATAGGGTGGCGATGGCTACGGCGGTACATCTCGGGTAATGCTACAAGTGTGATCAACTGTCATGAAGAAAACGCAATGTTGTTGCTGCTACCTTCACAAAAAAAAAAAAAAAAAAGTTGTGACCTATCTACCCTGCCTTCGTCTGTCCGTACTGATCTAGCACATGACGCACGGTACATAGTCGTGGATAAGTTGGGCACAGCAGTACCTTCGGGGCACGTCGGGGGTTGCCATGCACTCCACCGCGATGAGGGCGACCAGCAAGTTCCAAATACCGCTCGAAGAGTAGAAAGCATATTTTTTCTGGTATACATAGTGCCATCGAAAAAAACAACAAAATCAAGGTTCAACGAACAGTAGTGGAAGGAGGCCATTTTCTGGTCATCAACAACACCAACATCAACAATGCAGGAACGGCAATACTGCATGTGATGGAATACAACGCACAGCAGGAAGATATGGCTTTTTCTCTCTGTTGGGTGGTGATGCGTAAACCGACATCAGCAACGCAAAGAGAGCTAGCTGTATGGCGTCACGTGGTGACACCGGAGAATTGGGTTGCTAGAAAATGATTTCATCACGATACGCATATGAACGCATCACCCGTTTTAACACGTCTTTAATGGTGAAAAGGTCTGTTAATTGCGATCTACCGCCTCATCGAGCCCTCTGCGCGAGACGTGATATTCTACGAAATTTCCTACATAAACCACACTCGAACACGGTTTTCTCCACACGAGGCCGGCTAGTACATCATGAGGCTTGGTTTCGATTGCTGAAGACCGTATGCACCTCTCCCAAGATGACAAGAACGTAGCACAAGGCGATGAAGGCCAGGTTGGTCACCACTGTGAGAGTGGCCATGAGGGCAAGCAGTCCCGTAGATCCTACAAGAAAGAAAAGAAAAAACAGTCCGATGGTCAAGCAAGGAGGAAGGGAGGGGGGTGAAGCAAAGACGCAACTCATAAGGCACAGAGGCAGTTCGCGATGACTCCGATCCAGTACCCACTGAAAACACGAGCGCCCAACCTCCTGTCACCGCACGAAATCGAAGTGTGCGTACAGATCAAAACTGTTGGGGTCGATGTTGTTGAAAGTCGCAAGAGAGAGAGAGAGAGAGCGCCTTTCGTTGGGCGTGATACCGACTACTGCGCTGCGGCGGCCTGAAAAAACTACTATAATACAACACGCTCAATAGAACATGGCATCTTTCCACAGAGCGGTATACCAGGAGTACTTCAAAACAGTTCGTGTTTACATTTGAATAGTGCTGCTGTTAGGACGTACAACTGTCACCCGTCACCATGCTGCGTCTGCTAGACGTCTACGATCGAGAGGATGTTGCACTAGTCAATACTCCGGAGTAGATGCGTTAGAATGAGCTTGGGCACAAAAAAAAAAAAACGAACCACCCACAACAATATATAGAACGCGTGCAACAAGAATAGAATGAAATCGATCATGAAAAAAAAAATGACTCACCGAGCGATCTCTCGAGGTTGGGCCCCACAGTGTTGAAGTTCATGAGCCCCAAGATGACGGCCAGGAGACCCCCGCTGCAAAACACCGTCGTCACAACTCGGTACACTGGGCCAGGGGGAGGAAAAGTTGAAGTTGCGGTTCGAGGAGTCCAAACGGGAGAGAGAGAGAGAGAGAGAGAGAGAGAGAGAGAGAGAGAGAGAGAGAGAGAGAGAGAGAGAGAGAGAGAGAGAGAGACGGCAGGTAGAAAGAAGACGGCACGAGACGAGGCGGACATTGCAGGTCGACGTCAGGAGGGGTGACAGCCGGGGCTGAACAAGTCTGGCTCCCGAATTTCCTCTTGCAGTCTGGGCGCAACACCAGCAAAGGAAAATTCTACGGCCAGCTAACAGGCGAGTGTACCTCTTAACGTAAAGCTCATCAGGCACTCCGCCACGAGCTTGTTGAACACCTTGTACACCTTGTACTTCGCTGAACCACGACACCAGGGGTATGGCACATGGCACACAACTGCTGTGCTTGGGAGCGGAAGAGAACAAACAGAAATACCCCGGGCTGTTGACCCCACCGAGTGCGAGACGCTAATCAACCACAACAAAACGCGAAATTGATCTCCTTGCCCTTGGCCTTGCCGAAAAGGCGTCCCCCAGCCCAAGCTTCATACTGAACAACAATTGCACTATTGATGGGGAGTGTTTGTGTGCTCAGGGTCTGTGTCTTCTTGCTTAAAGCAACTCCGCCGCCGTTGTGCAGGCTAAATCAAAACGCATACAACACAGCAGTGATTACCAGCAGAAAGTCCCAGAGAAGGGAAAACATGGCGGGCTTGCTTGTTAACGTTGTTATGGCACATACAGTAGCAACAGTCGTGAATGTCGTGTGGACAGAAACAATTCGAGTAGAGGAGGGGGTGCATGCTGCTGGCACGAGGCAGCAAAGAGGGCCAACCACCTCATTACTTAATGACAAAAGCAGCACACAGCAGTTGTAACGGACCAACGATGCACCGAACGAGCAGTGGCAGTGACAGCGCCACCGCTGTCGCGTGTGTACAAGACGAGGTCGCGCCATTGAGCGAATGAACCAGCACCGTAGGTGTAACGGTTGGTGGCGTTGCCCATCCTGCTGGCAATCTTCCTTTCGACCACCGCGATTGTTATGTACAGCAGTGGTCCCGATATAGTGCCACCCTGAATAGTGACATGCCCGATACCGTGGGATCATCAAAAATCTCTTGTCACAATCCCAAAATGCACACAACCCGATGTATCGAATAGTGGTACTGCGCGAAATAGTGGCATACTCTGCTCTTGCCCCTGCATGTCAATATATCGGGAGCAAAGCTAACCGTGCTGAGCCGGACGCTGTACGACCTCTAACGTGACCTCACTTTCATCGAGCGAACGTGCAATGATATTCCACACGTCGCTATACACGTTTCGCGCGCAGACTCTGCCGCCGCTATCACGCTCACCTTCGAAGCTCTCGACGGTTCTGAACGGACTGTTGTTCAGGGCCAGGTCCAGCTGCGGCAAGAAGAAGCTTAGCAGGTACGAGCCCACGATGCCGACCATTGTACACCTAGCCGTGAAGGGGCAGGTGCTGGCCCACACCCGATACCTGCACACCGGGAAGTAGCACAAGAAAGCAGCGTCGGGTGCACCGAGAGAGAGACGGCCGTTTGTTGTTGTTGTTGTTGTTGTTGTTGTTGTTGTTGTCGTTGTCGTTGTTGTTATTATTATTGTTGTTATTGCTTTTGTTGTGTGTGTTGTTTGCTGTTGTTGCTGCTGCTGTTGTTGTTGTTGTTGTTGTTGTTGTTGTTTTCACAATGAAAACCGATCCGATCTCTCTGCCCAGAGCCTTCACCGGTCCGTACTGATTTGAGCCGTGCAAATGTTGATGTTGCGGAGTTCACGGCAAGGGGAGGGAGCAGGTAATAGGTCCCCTGCTCCTTGCACGGTGTCACTCACAAGCTGTTAGCCTACACCTGTCATGTTTGATGCGCTTCATGAGCATTCCACCTCAGGGTCGCGTTCACCAGGAGAGCCAGGGGAAACGGCGGGCAGCGCCACACATATACAGTCCTGTCAAGACATCAATAGCAGCGTTGTTCCTGCAAATGAATCGCCTGCAACACAACCATGCATGCATGCTGGGCGCTACGCCAAAGAGGGCTCGGCTATCAATGTAGAATCGACACTCTCGCAGTAATAGGTCACAAGCTCTCACAACCACGGGTGGGAGCAAAATTACGATCACCATTACAGACAGGGCCTTCGCTGCATTGTCTTGACTAAAACAAAACTGCTCAATGCGACGCAATCTCCGGGACACGGCACGTAATATACAGACGTTTTCTAGAAAATGGACAACGCCAGGGAAAGACGCGGGTCTCAAAACTGAATACAGCCGTTCCGGTATTGCCCAAAAAAATTACAGGCATTACTCAGAGTACTGACAATGACTTGGAAATTCAGTGTATGCCCGCCGAAAACACCGGCACTAAACAGGGACCCCCACATACCGACACTAGAAACCGACACACCACAGGAGTTATACTTTGTGTCGCCCCAGTACCACACAAGGGAGGCACGGCCTGTGAGCAGTGTCTAGCAGCAGCAGTGATATGACAAATTATACATTCATCGCGGCGCAACTCTGCTGCGTCGACGCTGCAGATGTTCTACAGCCGTAGGAGCATCCGATATCCGATCGCTACGCTACATTACATGCCTGTACAAGCACCCAGCTCTCAAAGCGAGTCCGATATTGGGATTGACGCTGTTGTGTGATGTTGAGATGTTGAACACACTTCGGCAGCAAGTATCTTCACGGCTGTATAACTCGAGCATTGCTTCGCGGGCGGCTGGCTGCATGTACTGTGCAGAATCAAACCTATCGAACCATCAGCCGTGCCCAGGGACGTGTCCCAGCAGACGACGAGCATGGCCTCGAGAGCACCGTGACCCCTACAACACGTTGTACTTCACGAAGGGTCTGTCCTTTGCTGCATACATTCGCTCACGGAGCATTGCTCACATCAACCTCGCTTTGTTTTCGATCTCTCTCGCCCAGATTAACGCGTTCAGCTAGGAATACGGGTGTCCCGTGAGGCCAAACACCGCCGACACGAACGGCTGACAATCGCACTCCGCGAGAACTGTTAGGTGCCGCAGAGCCTCGCCACTACCTCACTACTCCCAACATCGCTCCGGCCATCGAGCTCTGGAGAGTTCTCCGCATCATGCCGCACAATAACAGCGCCAGTGAATCTTCCACCCGTTTTTTTCTCACACAACACGAAACAGTAGTCAGCCGGCACTCACGCTTTGGCCACAGGGTTCTCATCCGCGAGCGATGCTGGTTCCGACATGGCCCCTTGCTGCCGGCCCTCTGTTGCACTCCTACCTAGCAAGGCGTCGCTGCGGCGTGTGCTCTTGGAGGGAGACTGGTTGGTTCCCTTGTTAGGAAAGGTGAGGGGGGGTACATGGGGGCAACGCAGAATGCAAGCGCCCTTCCGCAGAACACACACCCTGCCAGGCGGGAGGAGCAGAACACAACACCTTCTCAGGACACAGACCACGACCACGCCGAGAGAGCTCGTGCGTGCATCCATTCACCAGCACCAGCAGCAGCAAGGGAGCAGAGAAATCTCCTCCCCGAAAAGCTACACGGTGGCCGAGCCGGCCTCAAAGAGGTAGGACCAAAGATCGATCGATTTGTCCGTTCAACAACAGCGCCAGCAGCGAGAGACAGAGCAAGCAGCTCGCCCAGTGCTAGCCAGCAGAGAGAGACTGCCGTGGTGCCGAGAGTTGGTCAACAACAGAGTACTTTTCCGTATCAACAAGCATTGCGTTTTTTTTTGCTTTTCGTTATTGGGGCATCCCGCAAGAGCAAAGGGAAGGCGTGTGATTGTTGGTAGCCGATTTGGGCGGATCGGCGCGCTCTTGCGCGCCCTTGCTTCCACGTGCTGTGCTGGCTGTGCCCCCTTTCTGCTTGCCATTCTTCCCTTTAGGACTGGTCTCTCCCTGCAGCAAGATCCTCTTGTTGTCTTGCGATCTTGATGTTGCACTGTGTCTTGTGTGGTAGATTTGTAGAAGCCCGTATTGTCAGATGCACCAACAACACGGGTCGTTTCTAGCGTCGTCGGAAACGGGCTGCGGGGAAAAAGAGCAGCCCATTGCCGCTCACCATCCTCAATATGGCGCTCTCTGTCTGCTGCGTTAGAAGGCGGGATAGGATCGGTCCAAACACCCCATGTTTTTTGGCAGGGTGAACGGGGGTTATCTACGAAGGATAGGCACCAGGGAGAGAGAGCGGCCGCGTTTGTTACAACCCGCCACCTCTTTCTGACTCGGATCTGATTCGCACACGTTTGGTCACACCTTGTACGACCTCCCCCGCCTATGTTCAAAGAACAAACAAACCATCTATGGACTCAATGTTGCATTGCATTACTCTCGGCAATGCGGCGGTAGCACCTTAACCAGTGCATTTTGTCCCGTGCGCTGGCCACGAGTGCTTGGTGCTGCCTCATATGGAATGCTACAATACTCCAAAACGTTAGAAGAAAGTAGTGCGGTTTGCAGCTTGGTGCCATCCATGGTCACGGCCAGCTTCTATTTTGTTCGGGTAAGGGAGATCTTGTGCTAGCCACCTATCATACAATGCGCGAACTGCCGTGCATCGCTCAACCAGATATGTAGCGCGGCCGATGCTATTCCAAGAGAACGCGCACACACCCACGTGGTGCTGTGTAGCCTCCTTTATCAAATGATTTGACCGACTGCTGTGCCGTTCTTTTTTTCCAGTCTTGGCCGCGTGCCCCCCATCCCGGGGGGGCAGGCCCGCGTAGTGGACGCCTTAGACTGCCGTGACCCATCAATGGTGGCGTTTTTTGTCCGGTTGACCCTCAGTCGTTTCGTCCTTGGCTACTTCAGCCGATTTGTGAGGCCGATGCTGTTTGAATTAAACACAAGCACACTCGCAGCAGGCGCTTCGTTTTCAGCTAAATAGCGGATGGTATGTTCGTTGCCGCTTATTGCCGCTTGGTGTCTTCCCCCCACTCCCGTCGGCGCCGCGTAGAAGTAAACTTGCAGGGCTTGGCCTCAAGTTGAGCAGCCTATGGCAGATGAGTGTTGTCCCGGATCCACCACATGTCGGAACCCGTGTGTTGTACGTTCTTTTTTCAGGCTATTAGGCTTTGCCAGGCAACACACCTTGTGTTGGTTGCTGTCTCGACAACCTGACTCGGACGAAAGGTACTGAAGCAATCCTCCCCCTCCTTACATTTCAGTCTTTTGAGGGTCTTTCGTTGTCCTAACGTCTTTGTCGAGTCTTGGCCTCCCTCGCTCTCCTTACATACACCACCCTTGAGCCGCAACAGTGGTTTTATGTTTTATTGGTGCCGTTTTCGCTCAAAGCTTCAGATTGGACGGTCGACCTTACCATTCCTTCAAAGGTACATGTCTCTGTTCACCAACGATCAGCTGCTGTAACCGCAGTGTGCTCCACGGCAGACCTTTTCCTACTCCCAACCGCCCCGTGGTTAACGACGACCTGCATCGTCACCTTCGCTAATCTCGCCACAGCGTTTTGGTGTTTTCGCGCGAAGCTAAACTGCTGTGTGCTTCACCGGTAACGAATACAGTCAACAGGGTCAATTTTGGAAAAGTCTCATTTTTGGAAAAATCTCATTCTTCGTTTTACAGCAGATAGACCAAGTGTGTTCTGGACGGCCTTCTCATTTCGCCTAGACGCCCGCCAATCAAGTCTCTTTGGCGCCAACCCAACCCCCAACCGCGACCTTCCTTCGTTCGTCCCGACAGGGTTAGAACCATGCCTCCTGATCCAGCCGAGGGGGGTAAGGCCGTTGAGGCCGGTGGCGGCGGGAGCAAGGCCGGCGTTGACGAGTCGCTTTACTCTCGCCAGCTGTACGTCATGGGGCACGAGGCCCAGGTACGGCACTACCGAGTTTACACTTGACACAAGGCGCAAGAAGCCCACCTGCTTGTGTGTGAACGGGGGTTGTCTTTTTGTGCCTTTGTTTTTCGTATACGCACGTTTTCTAGTTGTTCGTGTTGGCCATTATTGGGAAATTATCTGTGTGTATTTATGTTTTGGTTTCGGTTTTGGGCAGGACGTATGGCTACTCAGCATCACCACACTAAAGAAATGGTTGTCTGAAGAATGATAATGGCAAGCACCGCAGAGGTACGACCGAGAATAAAACAAAGCAAAATTATTTCCCTGTGTGGCCTTCCCTTTCTCCTGCTGTACGACCCCGGTTGGTGCGTCAAGAAGTTACCACGATAGGTGTGACTGACGATCGACACCAAAGAAGAAATTGGATAGGATCGCACAACAATTAACACGCGACGATCCCACCATCCGCGTCCATAATTTGCTGCTGGTCCGTCTGTCTATGTGCGAATGAATCACGCTCTAGTGTTGGTGCGCCTTGTGTCGAGTAGTACGTTATGATAGCGGTCCACGGTCTTTGCCGCCGTGAGACCCGTGAGGGCCAGCTTCTTCTCCACATTGGCCGTACCGAGTAAAACGGTATACATTGTTTTTCTCGGTCATGCTCCGGGCTGTAGCATCTCTGGAACACGACCGTTTCTTTGGAACGGACTTGGTCGTGATTTCTGGTCCGTTTCAATGGCACGACCTTTACATATCCTTGTTCATGTGGGGTCCAAACTATCCCGCCAAGCTGGGAGACATGGTATGATGTGCCCGAACTGTTTGGCCTAGCTTCACCCGCCTTGATTGATATCGCTATCGCTCGCGTATCTTGAGCTGATGTACTATATATATATTCTGCGTACGTGGTGCACTGTGGTTTTCTCGCCTCGATTTCACGCTTGCAGCAGTTGCGGTGTTTAACTTCACCCGGCATCGCCCGACCTGACCCGGTGCATGTCGGGCTCAACTATAAATACACCTTTTCCTTGTGTGTCTGCCTGCCTACCCGCCCCCCGGCACGTTCCTCGTTCTCGCCCATATACAGAGGCGCATGGCTACGTCCAACGTGCTGATCGTGGGCGCGAACGGGCTGGGTGCCGAGGTTGCGAAGAACGTCATCCTTGCCGGTGTGAAATCGGTGACCCTTCTCGACGATGGACCCGCCGAGTGGAGCGACTTGTCTGCGCAGGTATGAAGTGAAGTACACATTGGGGTTGATGTTGTTAGGCCCATGTACGTGCGTGATCCTGCTTGGTCTTGCCGAAATCACAGCAGTATGTAGACACGGGGTCCATGGCGGACCACGATTCGTAGTATTCAAGATGCAGGCCAAGTCGCCATTGCGCTCCCTGGATTGCACACGGCAACTCTGGTATCATTGCAGACGGCCCGGACGCAGGTATCCAGAGTCTTCATCTAGACTATTATAGTGCTGTACCCCCCACCAACGCGTGGTCTTCGCTTCATCCCGCCCCCCCGCCGCTACTGAGCAGCGATGGCTTTTCAAACGCCCCATTCCACCGCCATTAAATATTGCAATAGGTCATCTGCGGCTGTTTGTTTGCCACGCCAGAACCATATATGCTCTGCTTCTTCGATACTGCATATCGCCCTGTGTGACACCCTCCTTGCATTGTGAGGTTTGAGTTGCTCTGGTGTGTTGTGAGCAGCGCAGCAGTTTCAGCCGTACCTCAACCTTTGGAAGGAAGAAGTCGCACTCGAAAAGGCGCACTTCCACGTGACATGCATACATCATACATCATACATTCTACAAACGGCCGCATTTTTGAGGCCGAGGCTAGGGGTTAGCTCCACCAGAGGCAGACAGGAGACAGCCTTCTTGACGACGTGTGCACACTCCGACCTTGCCTGTTCTCTCGCTGCTGCTGCTGCTGCTGCTGCTGCTGCTGCTGCTACTACTCTGCGTTGTCCTCACCGTCACGTTGCGGGACTGTCACATGGCGGGACTTTCAGTTTTACCTTTCGGAGGCAGACCTGGGAAAGCCTAGGGCGGCCGCGTGCGTGTCGAAGCTGGCTGAGCTCAACCGATACGTTGGGGTGAGAGAGACAACATGGGAGATCTTGGTGACGGAAGAACTATTGAAGAGCTTGTTATTTGTTTTCTGGCTCGTGCGTGCGTGTGGTATTTTGGATAGTCTTTTGATGAACATGTAGTGAATATGGCCGGGAGAGGGCAGGACTACGAGCTCAGAGAGAAGACTACAGCATCATACACGTTGATTCGAAGCCCTGCGCCTAAGTTGGGGGCAACAGATGAGCATTGTACAAGTCTTTCTTACTCCTCAGACGGCATCCCTTGTCTACAATACACGCTCTGTTCGATTCGCCCTCACCGATGCTGCGAAGGGTCCCCCCCTCCCTCCTGTCTGCCTTGTACATGGCGTCTGCTGCCTCGGGCATGGTTTGCATATGAATTGGTTGCCTGTGCCTTGAACATGGCGTCTGCTTGCTGTTCGCATCGCAAGACTTGGATGTTCTGTCGTGTGTACCATATACACGGTGCAAGGGTTGTTGTTGCTCACCGGTGACGGCGATGCTCATCCGCCCCAAAACGACAGTCCCGCGCACAAAGTCCCGCCGCTTTTCTCACCGGTGACGGCGATTCTCAAATCCGTCCCAAAACGACAGTCCCGTGAACAAAGTCCCGCCGCTCCTTCTCCTCTCAGGTCTCCACGACCACCGGCGAAGTAACCGAGGCCATGATCGGCTCCTACCAGGCGGTGGTGATGATCGACGCCCCGCTAGACGAGCAGCTGCGCGTCAACGACATTTGCCACGCCAAGGGCGTGTGCTTCATCTCCTGCGACGCCAGGGGGGTCTTCGCCTACGCCTTCTGCGACTTCGGGGAGGCCTTCGTTGTGTCGGACACCGACGGTAACCAGGCGGCGTCTTGCGTGGTTTCGTCCGTGACGAAGGATGCGGTGGGATTGGTGACGGTTATGGACGACCAGCGGCACAACCTCGTGACCGGGGACGTCGTGACCTTCAACTCTATCCAGGGGATGACCGAGGTGTGTTTGTGATTGCCTCTTTTTTTTGCTTTCTGTTGCCTGCATGTCAACCTTCAATTCTTTCCGGGAGATGACCCAGGTTTGCTTGTGATTACCTCTCTCCGCTTGTGTTTTTGGTGGCCTGCGTGGCGACGTTCAACTCCGTTCAGGCGATGACAGAGGTGTGCTTGTGATTGCCTTTCTCTGCTTGTGTTTGTTGTTTGTTACCCGCCGCCCTCCGAAGCGAAGGAATCTAGCTCCGGTTTTGCTTGTAATGCTGGTGTTTCTTTTTTTTAGGGCGTGTGGGGAGAGAGTAGCGAGGAAGATTTCTCTCCGACTTGCTCTTGATTCCCATTGTTTTGTTTCGAAGGCATCTATGCGGTTTTTGGTGGTCAATCGCCACTGCTGTACGTGGCTAGTGAGGTGCAGGCAAGATGCGGCTCCGTTGTTGGGGGGGCAAACTATTTCCAATGGAGGGCAATTGACCTCATTCGAATTCGGTGCAGGAAGTTTGCGACAGATACTCAGCAGGACCGGTGTCCCCAACGTGGTTTATGCTAAGCAGACAGCGGTATCTGCTTTGCACGTAGCTGTCTATCTTGTCGCGTCCCCGTTGCTGCATTTTATCCTGTGGAGCTATTTCTTGTTCTGGAGGTGTCTGACTCGGCTGATGCGTGCGTGCATCACGGCACGTGTTTTTGGGAAGCGTTGTTGGCTTGTTGCGCACCATTTTCTCTGCCTGCTCTCTGTTGGCTCTTTCCTTGTCCTGTTCTTGCGTCTCGTGTTGCCTTTGGTTGTCTTTTCTTTATCTCGTCTCATCTTGTCATTGCTTGTGCATCGTGCGTGTCCCCTCTTCTCTCTCCCCACCCCGACTGCGCTGCTGCTGCTGCTGGTGGTGACAATGTTGCTATCTAGCTTGAGGGCCGTGAGTTCACCATCACAGAGAAGGGTCCTTTCAGCTTCGAGATCGACTGCGACACCTCAAGCCTCGGAACCTTCGTGTCGGGCTACGTCAACCAGGTTTGTACATCTGCCTTTCAACATGATGTTCAATCATACTGTAGAGACAGAGGACAGGCACTATCGTTCGACAACCAAGGCTGGAAATGACAGGAGCCTGCAATGCTGGTGAAGTGAGTTTTTTTGAAAGCCGTTCTCGACTCTCTTCGTCAGGCTCTGAATGTTGCGTCATGTCATCCTCTTGCTTTGTGCCCCCTGTGCCATGTATGTTGTCCCGATCTACGGAGATTGAGGAAGGAGTTCGATTTGTTGAAAACGAGCACGACAAATAGGGGGCCACCCACACCCACGCTTGTTTGCAATTGGGGTCTAGCTTGGTACAGGGCTACCCCTATTTGCACGACGCACGTGCAAATAAGACGTGCACGCTTCGAAACGCCTCCGTGGATGGGTTGAAACTGGGTTATACACACACGTGACCGACCCAACCCAACCCACCCAACCCAACCCTAACCCTAACCCTAACCCTAACCCTCACGGACGTCCAACCGGGGCCGTGGTGGCGAGACTGGCCACGAACGCGGCTGCGCCACGTTCGTGGTCCGCATGTCAGAACGTGGTCCGCACGCTGCGCGCGCTGTTTTGACCAATCACAAATCGAGTCGTGCACGGTCTTATTTGCACTCGCGTCGTGCAAATAGGGGTTGCCCTTGGTACAGCCGCATGGTGTGCCATTGCGTCTTGACCTTGTACCCTTGCTGGTCAATACCATGTACTGCTTTGGTCACTACAATGTGTGTTATCTTACTGTTTTGATCAATACAATGTGTGTTGCCATACTGTTTTGGTCACTAGCATGTGTGTTGCCATACTGTTTTGGTCACTACAATGTGTGTTGCCATACTGTTTTGGTCACTAGCATGTGTGTTGCCATACTGTTTTGGCCAATACCATGTGTGTTGCCATACTGTTTTGGTCACTACAATGTGTGTGGCCATACTGTTTTGGTCACTAGCATGTGTGTTGCCATACTGTTTTGGTCACTACAATGTGTGTTGTTGTTATCCTATCAGGTGAAGAAGCCTTCGACGCTTTCCTTCCTCCCTCTTCGTGAGGCGCTGTCGAAGCCGGAGCCCTTCATGGAGACGGACTTCGCCAAGATCGGCCGCCCGGGGGTACTGCACCAAGCCTTCCGCGGACTCGACAAGGTGTGTACTGCTGTACATTCCTTGACCTGCGCGCCTTGCCGTATATGGCCGTTTTGGATGGCTTGTGCATGTTTGTCTGCCGGCAAATCGTGCGCGACGAGGACGATGGTGAAACGGTTGTAGATTTTTTTTTAATCTAATACGCAACAAATACTTCTCTAAACATACCATGATACCACAATCCCGAGTACTCGACGATGGAGAGGGTATAGACTAGTCTACGATCATTTTCAATGAAGGCTAGCGCTCGCGGGGCTTTTTTTTTTCGGCGGTTCAGGCCGTTGCATGGATGAACCAGAGACGGGCGATGCTTGTTGTACTCGCGTAAATAGACTGCGCTTGTGCGGTCGTTATTTGTTTGGACTACATAGGCCCGTCATGTGTTCTCGCACCCACGGACCTTAGGCTAATTCGGTGGGTGAAGTGAGGCAGTTTTCGCGTTGCTTACCTTCCGACGTGAAAGGCGTTTTTTCGTCCTTTCAAGTCCGCGCGTCAACCGATGAAGTACTGTACGAGGCAGTGCCTCATGCAGCACTGCTGCAACGCTCTGAATACGATGTTCTACATTTTTTTTCCCATTTTTTTTTGTTTTTTTTACGATTTTTTTGCGCGATCTGTCATTTTTTATCTTGTCGCAGTACCGTGCGGACAAAGGCAGCTTGCCCGAGGCGGGAGACATGGAGCAGGCGGAGGCGGTGTTCGAACTCACCAAGGGTTTCGACGAGGACGGAGGCTTCAAGGTGGAAGGGCTGGATGACAGCAAGGTGAGGAACGGACGGACCGACACACGTATTTGTACGGGGAGATCTGGTCGACTACTGTGTGGTGATGTAGGAGATGTCGGAGACGTGGCAGATATCGGAGATGTGGCAGATATCGGAGATGTGTAATAGCACCGTTGGAAAGAGGTTCGCGGGTACAGAACATGTTCCAGGATGGCGGGTTTCGACGACGGCGGTTTGAAGCACTACTGTCGTGTGATGGGATACTTGTACCAGTGTGGATGTGTGTTTCTGTAGATGCCAATCAGCGGGGTTCCCTGGTGGGAGTTGGTCACATGGGATGCCCTGCGCGTGCTGCTGCGACGTAGGTAGGTATATAGGTAGAAGCACGCCACGAACCAGCCTGCCGACACAGCTGTACCGCCGCTATCTACTCGAATCAACTCATGTCTTGGATTTCTCTACCGTTCGCGCTGGCGCGCTGCCGTTGTTGTGGGTAGGATGTCATCCTGCGGCTGTCTCTTGGAGCCCGCGGTGTTCTCAACCCGGTCTGCGCCACCATGGGTGGTATCGTGGGTCAAGAGGTGCTCAAGGCTTGCTCCGGAAAGTTCAGGTGACGAATGGAGGTCTAAGTACTGCTGTAAGGAGGGGACAGTAGCAAGGAGGAGACGGTAGCGAGGGTCGTAACCTAAAGGCTAGGCTCTAGAGCAGGCTTTTCTGTTGAACCTGAAGAGTTGGGCGTGAGTGATGTGGTATTGCTTCTTCATTGTGAAGGACTAGAGGGGGTTGTGGCAAGGGCTGTGAGGGACTGGTAGTACGGCAGCATGCGAGAGGCTTGGTGCGAGGGATAACGAAGCCTTGAATTGGACATGGCGAAACTACTGCTGTACCACAATGTGCTGGTACCGTTGTCTCTTGGTGCTAGGAGACGAAGGTGTCTCTTGGTGGTAGGAGACGAAGGTGACTCTTGGTGGTAGGAGACGAAGGTGACTCTTGGTGCTAGGAGACGAAGGTGACTCTTGGTGCTAGGAGGCGAAGGTGTCTCTTGGTTGTAGGAGACGAAGGTGACTCTTGAAGCGTGGCGTACGGTCTTTAAAAGGACACGGTCACGTTGCAGTTGATAGATACGTATCGCGGTTATTTCCTTCTCTCTCTCTCATACTTCAAGTAGTTGGTGAAATTGGATATTCATCCTCCGCACGATGCCCCATGGAACGGTATTTGTTTTGTGAACGAACTTCGTGCAGCCCGATCCGTCAGTGGATGTACTACGACGCCTTCGAAGCACTGCCGGAGGAGCCTTTGGCCAAGGAGGAGGTGCAGCCGCTTGGCTGCCGGTACGACGGAAGCATCATGGTCTTCGGCAAGACCATGCAGGTACATATGTGTGTTGTTGTTTGCATCGACCGCGGTACATAACCGGCTGACCAATGAGAAGACCCGAAGTCTTGAAAGGCATGCTAAGAACGGAAAACGTTTGCAAGGGTCATGTGTCATGTGTGTGTTCCCCAAGTGTAATTATTTTTTTCGCATTAACCGCCATAACCGTCTGCCAGTGAACGAACAAGATGCCACCCGTTGCATGCTAGTCCATGGCCGTTGTTTTGCGTGTGGAAGGCGGAGAGAGACGGTGGGGCGGGGGGAGAGAGAGGCATACGAACGACATTCGCGGATCAATGTAATGGGGCCCAAACTAGCGCCATCGTATCGCTGCTATCGGTTCGGGTGTCGCTAGCTTTACTCAACACTGAACACCCACCGGTTGTTCGTTAGACTAATTCATTTGTATACCTTTCAGAGCCAATGTTTTCGCCACGGTCACACGAACTACAACAGTGCTTGGGGCTTGCCATGCAGCTCGTGTGAGGAACGACGACCCTGATCCACGAGTGCGAATATACATGTACTAGAACGACAGAGAGCGCGCCAGGGATTTTGTTTTGGTGTCATGCCTGGAGCGGGGCGTAATTTGTTTTTGGCTTGACGCTCGCACTCGGGTCTGGTCTGTTTCATTTGATGGCAGGACCTGCTGGGCAAGCAGAAGTTGTTCTTGGTAGGGGCGGGCGCTATCGGGTGCGAGATGCTCAAGAACTGGGCCATGATGGGGGTGGGGTGTGATGGCGACGGGCAGGTGCATGTGACGGACATGGACAACATCGAGAAGTCCAACTTGTCCAGGTACCGCGAGGATGCTGGCCTGTATCGTCGATGCATTTTTTTTTTCTTTCAACGTCCGCTGTGTTGTTGAGTTTAAGCCTACAGCAAAGGTTGTCTGTTGAGTCTACGCTATGTTTGGGATTATTTTATGGCAGCACCTCGTTTACCTGGTATTCGCGATTTCGTCAGCCTTATTCCGGGTGACGGGCCATGTATTTGCGGTCTGGTACAGTACCGCTGTGTATACTACTGCGGTAGACCACGACTGAAGTCGAAATATGTGTTATTCCAGATTTTCTCGAAGAAAGAAGGCTTGGATAGGCTCCCCAGCCCGGGGCCTTCGTACATCAGACTAGGGCACACCTATAAGCGGACTGCGTAGCGTGTGAGTCGCACCACGTGCCACGAACATCCTTGCCAGGGTTTCGGATCCAAGCGCCGCGTTCGCCGAATTTGTTTTTTCGTAGAATAGTAAGCAGGTTCCATCCGTATCGACAGGTAACAGTCCAGGGTAAAGCGATGAACTCATTGTGTTTTTTTCTGCTTGATTTTTGGTCACCCGTCTCTCCAGACAGTTTTTGTTCCGAGAGTCTGACATCGGTCGGGCCAAGAGTCTCACCGCAGCCGGGGCTGTTCGGGCCATGAACCCGTCCCTCAACATCAAGCCTTACGAGGCAAAGTGTGCGCAGGAGACGGAGGAGCTGTTCAGCGACGACTTCTACTCCGGATTGTCGGTCAGTGGTGTTCTGTGATGTGATGTGATGTGATGTGATGTGGTGGTGTGGTGGTTTGGTGTGATGTGGTGTGTTCTTCGTACGGTTTCGTCGAAGTTTTGGCTTAGGGTTAGGGTTACGATGATGGTGTGATGCTATTGATGGCGTCATGACGTCAATGATGGAGTCATGACGCTGTTAGGATTATGGTGGTGTGATGCTATGGATGGAGTCATGATGCTGTCAGGATGATGGCGGTGTGATGCTAATGGTGTGGGAGCGGAAACAAGGATAAGGAAGGTTCATTTGCATGCCGTATGTAGCGTGGTATATATTTTACACAAGCCGTTGGAATGGTGCGACATGCACGTCATTACCCTACACCTTGTGTATACTGGGTGCATTGGGTGGTTGCGTCATTGTTGCCTTTCGCACTATCCCTGTTTCTCTTTACCCTCTCGCAACCTTGATGGATCATTTCAGGCTGTGTGCACGGCGCTGGACAACGTGGAGGCTCGGCTCTACATGGACCAGAGGTATCTATTCCACCGTGCTCATGAACCGTAGCTCTTGCATGCCTCTGTTTGGCATCAACAGCAGTCAGTAGTCCTCGAAAATGTGACACCCTTTGTAAAAGCCTGTACAGTGTACATGGCCTTAAGAGGTGGCTGACTTGCTACCAAAAACTCGGCCTTTTGTGTTTTGCTCAATGTCCCCGTTTCGATCGGCACCGTGGGATCGAAGGAGCGCTTGAGAGGAATCCATCAATATTTGCTGATGCGTGCGAAGTACATTGTTTTTGGTCAGCATCACGGGCGTTAGTTTGAGAGAGAAAACCCAAGACTCAGATGCATGGAACGGTGCTCAGAGCACCTGGAGTCTCGCCTCCGACGTATGCATGGGTATTGCAGCCGGACCTGTTTGCGCTTGGCTGTACAGCTGGTTCGGATCCGTGACGTGGTCCTGCCGTTGTTGTTGTTGGTGGTGGTGGTGACGCATGCATGCATTCACCTCGTTCACCTCGTTCACCTCAATGCCATGCAACATGACTGCTGTGTGTGTGTTTGAACGCAGGTGTCTCTTCTACCGGAAGCCCATGTTGGAGAGCGGGACCCTTGGCACGAAGGGTAACACACAGGTATGCGGTAACGGTAACGATGGATACGCCGTGCGATTGTGGGCATACACGTTCATGCAATGATGAAGATAGAAAAGTGACGCAGTAGACGTTTTTGAGCATATCCAAAGACAAGGATAAGGGAGCGGAGACATGCCCTAGAACGATTGTTGTGTGCTGTGGCCTTCCCTCTCCCCGTCTACACACCTCTATCTTTCGAATTTTACTATTTTTGTTTCTTGTTTGGTACTCTGTGTGCTTCAATGGACGCACGTCCCTGATGGATTTTGATTTAACCTTGTCTACACAAAGTTCTTGTTCCGATCCTATTATAGTAAAGGGCGGCCGCTAGGAGGCTAACCCTACTACCCGTTCTGTTTTTTCCTTCGTTGGTCGTCTTGATGCAGATTGTGGTTCCTTACCTGACGGAGAACTACGGTGCTAGCAGGGACCCTCCGGAGAAGTCGATCCCCGTTTGCACGCTTAAAAACTTCCCCAACCAGGTACTGTGCTGTAGGGTGCCACTGCTGTCGTCGCTAGTGCTTTATGATTTCGCTCGTTCGTTCTTTCGTTTGGTGGTAACCTCAACAGCAGTTGGGACCTTGAAAGTCGGAGCCATGAGATGGTTTCTTTATTTTTATCTGCTGTCTTTCTATATCTGAAGCCTATAATAGCACCGTCTAGATGCGTCTGAAGTTTGTGCCTGCTTGCTGTCAAGGTTTCAGGCGCTGGTCAGACTACAGCAGTTTCCGATGCCACTCATCTCGGCCCAACGCGCCGGACAGAGTGCCGTTCTACATGTGTACTGTAAACGCACTGTTGTTACAACACGTGCTTGGTATTGTTCAGGTTCCGTCTCTTGCATTTATGTTTGCACAGCTTCACTCTTGTTTCTTTTTCACTTGGTTCCGTTTCCACCTTTGTGCCGTTAACGGTTTAACTTTTGTTCCGTTTCACCCTTGTTCGGTTTCACGGTGTCACTCTGGTGCCGTTTCACTCTGGTGCCGTATCACGATAATTCATGCCGTTTCAGATAGAGCACACCCTTCAGTGGTCGCGGGATTGGTTCGAGGGGTGCTTCAAGCAGAACGCGGAGGATGTCAACCAGTACCTCCAGGACCCCAACTACACGACCTTCCTGAATTCCCAACACAACACCAAGCTCGAGACCCTCACCAGGTGAAGCTATTTCCGTGTCACCTGTATCCTTGCTCCATAGCTCCATAGTGCTCTGTCTACCTAACCCTGGCTGCTCTAGAGTTGTGTCCTTCGTTCAGTTTTTCAATGCGGGGGGGAGGGCGGAAATTCTCAAATTTATTTCGGATTCCTAAATCTCTGCGTTATTGTCATGATAGGCCGGAACAAAAGTTTTTGTTGTTGTTGTCTTTCGTCATGGTGTTCTTCAGCCACTGTCACAACCGCTTTCACCTCTTCAGCCACTTTCACGACCGCTTTCACCTCTGTCCGAAACCTCTTCATGACGGTGTAGAAACAACGGGAATTTTTTTTTGTCTTACCAAGCTGATGTTTCCTCGCGAAGCAGTGGTACGAAAGAAGAGACATGAAAATGATGACAGTTCCCAGAGAAGTCTTTTACCCGGTGGCAAAGAAGACTGTTATTCTAGCTTCACATTTGCAATTCATCGAATGACGTTCTTGCTGTGTTCGTGCTTGTGTTTTCGGTGGTGATGTTGCAGGATATCCGAGTCGCTCGATTCGAGCAGACCGAGCAGTTTCGGAGACTGCATCAAGTGGGCTAGGCTGCAGTTCCAAACTCGTTTCCACAACGAGATCGCTCAGGTGACAAGACAGACACCGCCGCCACTATTGTCCGCGTTGCTACGGTTGCTGGTTGCTGTTTCTCCGAAAATCACAAGCCACACGCCACGGTAGAGCAGCTGACGGTCGGTCAATCGTAGGTGAAGTTTTCTCGCTCCTAGTCTTGTCATTTTTGGCCACTGATAGTGTTTCTCGATCTCCCATGTCTTTTCTCGGCCTCGGCTGTCGGCTCCACGGGACTGTCAACATCGGTGAATTCCTGCTGTCGACTGGACTGCCGACATCGGCCATGCGGCGAATCCCGCTGGCTACTGGACTGTAACATAATCGACCATGCGGCGAATCTTGCTGTCGGCGGGACTGTCATGTTTGAAACCACAGCTT